ATACACAATGAAGATTCTCACTAAAGAACAAGAAGAAGCTCACTACAGGTACACAAGCCTTACACTAAGCCCCTCACCTCCCAATTCCCATCATCAGCCCATACTGACGCAATCACCAACAGCTCCGTCGTCAGAGGCGGCACAGTCGGCGGCCTCCTCGGTCTCGCCGGCGGCGCAGCAGGAGTCCTCCTTGCCGCACGTCGCTACCACACAATCCGCAACCTCACCATTCCTATGAAAGCCTTCCTGGTGACGTCCTCAGGTACCTTCACCGGTATCATCGCCGCCGACCACGCCTCACGCGAGTACGAGAATGAGCAAAATGCCGCTTACCAATGGTATGAGAGCCGTGAAGAACGTCTCCGCGCCGAGGAGATTCGCGGTCTCAGCTTCACTGATCGCGCGGCTGCCTTCGCCCGCCGCGAGAAATACAAGATCATTACCGCCACCTGGATTGCCTCGATGGTTGGCTCGTTCGCGCTTGTCAGTCGTATCCCCGGCCTCAGTGGACAGCAAAAGCTTGTCCAGGCTCGTGTCTATGCACAGGGTCTGACGCTGGGTGTGTTGTGTGCTTCGGCTGCCTTTGAGATCTCGGATCAGCGTCGTGGTCGGGGATTGCTCGACTCGAAGAAGAAGGCCGATGCCGCGGCTAAGGCTAAGGTTGAGGATGTTGAGGAGGACCAACCTATTCACCAGGGCGGGAAGCCCAGTGAAGGTGATCTCTGGAAGGATATGGTTGCTGCTGAGGAGGAGCGCTTGAGCTCTAAGCACCAGTCTCTCTATGATCACCACGAGAAGCAGCTAGCTGCTAGTGCTGAAGCGAAGGAGGAGAAGTCTGAGGAGAGTGAGGAGGAGAAGGACTCCAAGACAGAGAAGAAGGACTCCGAGTCCAAGAACAAGAAGAAGAGCTCCTAGATATACCTCTCTTGCTTCTTGTTCATCCCCTACAACTGTCATTGATCAAGGTTCATTGCAGACATCGCTGCCCACCTTCTTTCTATTTCCTCCCAACGGCCCAAAATCTTCTCTGGAAAACAGTGATAGACGGGAGGGGGCGGTGGCATTGCTTGCTTGGCCTTCATCGCCCGTACATATCCTATTATTTCCTAAGCGTTTGTCTCCTTGTTCATGTCTCGAGGGTCCTCTCGGTCCCCAAAAGTGACATTTATTTTATTATGTCTACGTGTATGATAATACTATAGGCTGTGCCCTCTGTCTCTATCTCTACTTCTTAATGGAAATGGATCTACTAAAAGAATTGGCATTGGTGAGTAATGACGTCATAGTATTCGTGGGTATTTGAAGTCTATGCGATATGGCCGGGGGCTAAGAAGCCGAACATAATGGACATGAAAATAAGTTATCACCCAGATAACGATAAAAGCCTATGGTCAGCTTTATTTCCGTCACTGTCGACTTAGAAAGTTTCATCTTCCAGGCGCTCCATGCGGCGGATCACACTTGGACTTTGCTCGTCGTCAAAGTCATCTGTGATGTCCCCAGCTCCAGCTGTAGCTAGTAAATCGGTCACGATGCGTTTAGAAGCCTCTCTTGCTACCAAGTCAAAAAAAAGTTAGCACGAATGTAGCACTGAAAAGAAAAAAGAAAGTGGAACAAATCTTACCAGGCGTCCTCATCAGCCGGCTCTGCGGAATGTGGAACTGCATTGTCTTAGGAGGACTCGGACCAAGATCCTCATCATCGTCGTAATCCAGATCATCGTCACTATCCCACATAGCCGACTGACCAGCCGACTTCTTAGCAGGTGTCAAAACACTCATGCCGGGTCTGGGAATACCGCGCATGCGATTGCTGCTAGTGCGTCGCTTGCGGTTCGTGCCCGGGGTATCGTTAAAGCCCTTGATGGGCGATGAGAAAATCTCCGAGTGGAGCTGCGGTGCCTCTGGCTCCGGGCTGGAAATCGGCGAGTCATCATATCCATATTTGGACGTAGACTCGGCCGGCTTTGGGGTGATATTGAACTTTGGTCGAGTGTTCGTGCCACCGCCCACATTGTGGAATCCCTTTCCAAGAGGCGTGGCTTGCACCCGGTATGTCTTGTCGAGCATTTGATGCAGTACCGGGTCTGAGGTCTTTTGGTATCGACGGTCTTGGGTGGATGGCTGTGACGCGGGCGGGAGGAAGGGTGAGGACATCGGGGTTGTGGCGGAGACGCCGCGTGGGAAGAAGAGTTGGCGGCCTGGAGTGGATGGGAGGGTCGAAGAGTCTGGGAGGTCGAATGGGGGTTCCGATTCGTTGACTTGTCTTCTTAGGCTCTCGTAAGAGGACGAGTACTCCATCGAGGAGGCTGTCATGTCGTCGTCGGCTTGGTGGTGGTGACCTGAAGCGCGCGGGGTGCTGTGGGAAGAGATTGCGAGATCTGTTAGATCAAGGTCGTCTGCCTGGTCACGGCGGGGTGTTTCATGGCGCTGGGAAGAGGGCGTCTCGTGGGACATGGTATCATCGAGGCTGGTGCTTTGGGTTATGTCTGCGGACAACTCTTCCTCCGTAGCTGTAGGGTCCTGCATCGTTTCTTCGTCGGTGTTTTTTTCTTCATAGCCGGATAGAGATACGTTGGCACTCGCTTCGAAGAATTGCTTCCAGAACTATAGGGAGTTAGCAAAGCTGTCTATAGCTGTCTAGTCTGGTGGTGCTGACCTTGGAACCTTCCCAGACATCTCGGGAATGCTCGGTATATTGCTCTACCAGAGGTAATATACTCGTAGTGACTATCCGATGAGCTTGACTGAAATTGTGGTCGATCTCTGTAACGACATATGACGATGAGCGGTCTGCTAGACTGTTTTGTTTACTTTTTTGCCCTACCTTGCATTGTAAGGGTAATGGACTGCTCCAATTTCTCAAGCTCCTCGGTGAGGGACAAGGGCCGTTGGGCCTGCGAAGGTTGGCGAGACATAATAATATCACTTAAGTTCAATTGTACAACAATGGAGTCAAGAGATGGGAGCTTGCAATCACGTCCATCACTTTGACGCGCGGGGGCGCCCAAAGCGGTGCGTACCTAGGGCCTGTGATAAGGGCTTGGAAGGTCACATGCATTGATGTAAGGTCAAGATGCAGGCATCACCGAATCATCTTGTTCCACTCCATGGATGACGAAGGTGAGTCTTGAAATTATTTGAAAGGAAGGACCCAAATACAGTATTTCCTGTTCATTATGCCAGCACCACTTGCAAAAGGTATGGTCCTCTACTTCCCTGGACTTCTACAACTTCTTCCCGGATCATCCGGGCGGTGTACTCGGTCTTATCAGTTCCCCACTATGTTGAGGATGAGGCTGACCTCTCATGCAGGAATTATCATTACTGTTTCTGTGCTTGTAGCGGCCGGCATTGCCGTGTACGAGTCACCGCAGTTTAAGCAATGGGTGACCACCTCGCGGCGCAAGATCGCCTTGGCTCTGCACAACCTCGGCGATGAGATACAACCTCAAGACATAGCGCTGAGGCAAGACATTTCTATGACTGAAGAGACTGGAGAAATTGCCGAAGAACGCAGACGAATTGCTCGTGCGGAGATTATGCGACGAGGAGCGCTCCTTGAATCGCAACGAAAGACCAGCCAGCCCGCCCGGCCTCATAATAGCTTTGATACTCTCGTCGACGACGAGGGCAACCTGCTTAAACAAAATGATCATGAATACGATGTTCAGCCCAACCACGAATTTACTGCTAACTCAACGGGAGTTGACCTGGGAACTTCAGAGCCTCTCCGCCGAGGTGCCAAGCAAATCGAGGCCGAGTCTTCGAATACACTGGGTCGGAATCAGCTGCATGTCGACATCCCCTCGTCCGCTCCCTCAAGCCATCCCTCGGAATCTATTATTCAGTTCATACCCAGGTCTGAAGCACCCGAGGGGGATGGCCTCTTTGATCCATTCTCCCCCAACTCTCCCTTGTCTTTATCTGGTTCCAGCCACACAGAAGACCACCAGCAGGTATATTACGCGCACCCTAATGCGCCAAGCAACAGAACCTATGAACACGATCACCTTGCTGAGCTAGATGGTTTCGGCCACGAGAGTATTCAGTCTCACAATGATATTTCGGCCGCCCCTTCTACCACTGGAAGTTTCAGCCATGTCGGAGGATCCGAGGATGGAACGTCAGATGGCACTCTTAGTGACTTTGATGTGCGATCTCTTGGTGGTGTGGCTACTCCGGCATGGTCTGATGTGGGTAGCGTAATTAGCGATGAGGATGCTGGACATCATCAGTTGCTCTGATGCTCGGAACTTGATGGATAAGGGACCCGGATGAATGGATGGGCTAAATTTACTGGCTCGGGGATATTTCTGGTATGACGTTTGGCGTTTTGACTTTAGGTTTGACCTTGGCTGTGATTTGTGTAGATGCGATACAAAGTACAAGTAGATTATGCTTTGGTTTAATTGAAGTACCAAGGGATCGATTATTTGCAATACTCCTATATAGGCTGGTGCAATGTAACCCTTCGAGAACGCATGCTCTACATGCGAATGGCATTGTCAAATTCGCACTAACCGCATCAAAGGGAGTTCAATGGCAGAGATCGGACTTTGCCTCTCACATTCAATTGTCTGAGACATAGTTGACGCAATCGCACTAGAAAAAGCCTGCATTGACAGAAATCAGCTCAAGTGACGTCCACTACTTGTATATATATACCTTAACTGGCCCAACCTACTATGGAGAGGGACCTGCTGATAAGGCATTGTCGGGATCTGCTGTAATAACCGGTTCAATCCATGAACATCCATGGATACGTGGGGAATTCAACAGCGTGATATGTGGAAATCAAAGATATAAAACGGTCGAACGGCCAACCACATAGGCATATCCACGTGTATGACGTAACCACAACACGGCCTAGACCTGGAAAGAACAACCTTGGAACCTTGGAAGGCACCTAATTATAGTATATCGGGCATTCGTTGTCCTCTATTCTTCTACTATTCTGGCATTTTACCCTATCTTCCTCATACCTGCAACGTTGGAGTCATGGCTACATTCGTCGCACATAAAATCATGGGCACCGCTCTTCAAATCACCGACAGGTATACAGACTTGCAAGCACGAGGCGTGGGTGCTTGTGGAGTAATCTGGTATAACCCCTCGTATATTCCAATCGTACTGTAAGACCACTGACAGCCAGTATCAGCTCCGCGCATGATTCAAAGGCCAACCAAAAGGTTGCCATTAAAAAGATAGGGAAGCCGTTTGATGGCAGTGCCCGGGTCAAGCGCACGTATCGCGAGGTTCATTTGATGAACCATCTCAAACATGATAATGCATGTGCGGAAAAAGAGACAAAATATGAACGTGCATACTAACTGCCTACAGTTGATCAACCTGACAGATATCTTCATTTCACCAGCAGAAGACCTGTACGTGAATGACTCCTCTATTTCGCAAGTTCAATTATAATAACCATGTTGAAATACAGGTATCTTGTGATGGACTGTTTCATGACAGACCTTCATGATTTGATCCAATTAAGCTCAAAGCCATTGGAGGGCAAATTCATCCAATTCTTCACCTACCAACTGCTGGTATGTCTGCCCCAGTGATCTGGAACATGCCAGTGTAGCTGATTATTATAGCGAGGCTTAAAATTCATTCACTCTGCTGGTGTGATCCATCGTGATCTCAAACCCAGCAACATTCTGATCAAAGAAAACTGCGACTTGAAGATTTGTGACTTCGGTCTAGCTCGAGAACAAGATCATCAGATGACTGGATATGTCTCCACACGATACTACCGAGCTCCAGAAATCATGTTGACTTGGCAAAGATACAGTTACGCAGTGGATATTTGGAGTACTGGCTGTATTCTGGCAGAAATGCTCTTAGGGAAAGTCCTCTTACCGGGCACAGACAATGTGCATCACTTCCAACTAATCACTGAGATCTTTGGAAAGCCACCCAAAGGGATTATGGAGACAGTTTACAGCGACGTTGTATGACTAAATTCTAATGGCTGGCTTAGATGTGGAAGACTTGATGCTGACTGCGAGTTATAGACGATGAAGTTTGTGAACTCTCTACCTGAAACGAAACCCCGATCACTTGGAGCCATCCTCGGAGATGTTGACCCTGAAGGTATGCTTGTTGAAATCTTCATGGATATCAGGTGCCCCCTTATTCACCTACCTACAACGATACTGACTTTGCTAGCTATTGATCTCTTGGAGAAAATGCTGGATATAGATCCGAAAAAGAGAATCACAGCGGCAGATGCCCTAGCCCATCCATACGTCTCGACCTATTCGGACTCCAACGACGAACCCGAGTGCAAGAAACAAATTGACTGGTCTTTGTTAGATTCGGAAATGACAACGGATGAATGGAAGTGCAAAATGTAGGTATTCCCCCAATCTGCGGCCTATTGATCTGGGCTTATCCTTGAAGGTACTTCGAGATTTTAAATTACCACACTGGTTCTTACAACTGGGAAGACACTGACCCCAAAGCTCACGAGGGAAGATTTGAGGATTGGCTGCGCACCGAGATAACGGTGGGTACATATTAGTGATCCTTGAGAAGCTATTTCTTATTTTTTTCCCTATTAATAACGCATCAATTTATCATCTGAGCATAATCATTGAGCTATTGCTCCGAGTGTACATACACAAATTCCATTGGAATATCGGTAGAACAGATTACTATTGACGTGAGCGACAACGCCTCGATTGAAAAAGCAGCACAATGCATCATCGCCTCTAAGCACGGACAACTCGACACACTCGCGAAAGAGCTCGAGATCCTTCTGCAATAGCAGAAGAAGCAAGAACACTGACATTGCTAAGAGTAGAAAGCCGGATATGTTTAGGCGTACTAAGAACCAAAGAAACGACATGTTGAAAAGAACGACTTGATTAGCTCCGCCACCTACATCGTGATGCAAACAAAGTCAACCTGTTCGGCACCGCCGCAACTTTCAAGGGGTTTAAACGGCTTCTTGTGAAGGCAGCTGCCACACCAGATTGATTTCATCTTTGCCTTTTCACCCGTTGTCTCTAGATCCGCGGAGTGACCTGTCATCTGAAATGTGACCAAGCCCTCACCGTAGTAGCAAGGCGGCGATGGTTGAGGAAAGGAGGCAAAAGGTCACCTGTTCAACCCCTAACTTGACGGCTACCAGATTTTCGCACGGTATTGAAGGTCTGCATGTACCTATATCCGCCGGATATTCCCTGGCGTGTGGGGCTTTCATATTTGATCTGCCGCCGCTTTTATGAGGGGGCTTCTGTGGACCGGCGGTAACTGGAAAAAAATCGCCCACGAGTAGGACAGTTAACCCCCCCAAAGTAATGGCCTTGAAATTGAGGGAAGATTTCGCGACATCGCTGCTTGACCTGGAACTTCGTGTTGCAATACATAGGGCATAAAAAGGTGGTGCAATTACAGCTGGATAGTGGTGCCGATATCAGTGCTGAATAAAGAGCACTTGAAAGGGCTAGAAATAAGTGAATATATCGGTATGTATACAGAAAGCGATACCCCTACTAAGAGAAGAATATAGGGTAGGTGTCTTTACGTGTTCTATATTCCTGTTTTTCCTTATTTTTCTTATTGCCCTGAAACGAAGGAACGGAGTCGAAGGGTCTATAGACGATAGGTCTGCGTAAGGCAGACTTGAAGACTGAGTGAAGGCTGAGATAACGTTACGAAGCTTCGCTCTCATTGGTCTTGTACCTGAATTGATTCTGAAATCACTGTGGTATACTCGCAAGGTACCAGAAAATCCATCCATTTCATGCGCTAGAATTTTCTCTGCTACCCCAAATGATGTGCCAGAAATCACTCACGAAAGGACCGCCTTATAAGATTTCTCGGAAACATTCATTCTCACCGATTTTGCCAAGAACAGAAACAACGTAGCGTGTTACAAGATTCCTCATAGCCTCAATCTTTTCACCGTGATTTGGTGGCGTGCGCCTGTATACACTGTCAAAATCTTCTTCGAACAACCAAGTTACGCAGCTCAACGGCGCCAAATACATTGGATCGAGCACCATGCCGCCTATGGTATCCAACATACAGCGTACCTTCAGTGAAAATGTTTCCTCGAGTGAATTCTCAACTCAGTTGAGGAATCCGTCCGACATTTTCTCCGTTCTCCTTATTCTCAGAGGTGACGTTATTAGTCGCGCACTTGCACAGTTGGCAGGGTCGCGCCTTACTCCAGTCGCTTTCTCCTTCGGTACAAGCCTCTTATACCCCGTTTGCTATGTTTTCGAATGACCTAACCTCTTCTTTTGCTATTATTCTAGGTTGGGTAGCTTTCGCAGTCACCGCCGTTGGGGCGGTTATTGGAGAGAAAAAGTTAATACCATCAGCTGATTTCCCCTGCAAGGTGATCAATGATCATACCGGCTATATTCGTGATAACCGTAGCTGGGTCATTGGTCGTCTGGCGCGCGATTTCGAGAACCGGATGGACAAGCAACCCCAAGTGCAACCACAACAAAGCTTAACGACTGATTTGAATTAAAGACGGTCTAAAGTGTGTCCAGGAAACTACGGAATCAAAGTGGAGGGTCCTAAAGCAAGTTCTGGTTCCCCAAAAAGCTCTAGAAAAATCTCGATGGTTTATTTGAGAAGACGCGCGACTGTCTTGTGCCCTTCGCGGCGGCGTACTGCAGTGGCGTCCAGCTATCTGAATCTTTGGCCTCTTTATCGGCGCCCACTTTGAGGAGGAGCTGGGCGACTAATTCATATCCACCCTCAGCAACGTAATGCAGTGGCGCTCTGCCACCCTGGGACTTGGCCTCTTTATTGATGCCCTTCTCGGGCAAAAACCGCGTGAGCGCCTTAGAACCATGCTCGGCGGCCTAGTGCAGCGATGTCTGGCCACACTTTGCCTCAATATTAGTGCCTGCATCAAGCAACCTTCGAACCGTAGTTTCGAGCTCATTCTCTGTCGCAAAATGCAATGGTTTCCAAGTCTTATCTTTGTCGTTCAATGAGACCTCAAAATCATCGTCTATTAATTGCTTGATTAACCCCCGCTGGTTGTTTATCGCCTTGCAGTGCAGGGAGGTCCAACGAACTCATTTGCGAAGACATTGCCAGATCCTGTACCATGCAGCAGCTCAAGTACCTCCGTGTGGTCATTTATTTCCGCGAATTGTTGCGGCGTCCAGTCGTATTTGTCTTTGGCTGTGATATCAGCGCCTTTCTCGAGCATAAGACTAACTGATTGACAAAAGAAAAGGACAGACATGATTGCTTAGACGCAATGCACAATTCAATATCGTGTCGCTCATTATGGTGCTTGAGAGCGAGATCCATCGCGTCATCATTTTTCAACATATAAGCAGGGGGTGGATATGGTCCAAGTTTGAATGCTTTTTGAGGTTGTCCTCCCCCAACTGGGAGTAGGCAAATCTGATACTGCTTATCAGGAGAAAACTATAGAGAAATGATTCCAATTTTTGTAACAATAACTAAATGACTGATATTGAGATAAAATTCACACGAACTTGCTTTTCGATCCGTAGATTGGGGCGTTGCCAGAGAGGAACATGGAAGTTGAAAACAAAAGACATGTACCTTTGGTTAAATTACCAGATATGAAATGCCTGCGCCATTCAGAACACTATTGCTCCATGTTTCAACCTTCCAATCGAATCCATCTTTGGAGACATTCTCCGCAACAGCCTTCAGCCTCAAATCATGCTTGTTATCACAATTGAACGATTTGATAGCCAAATGTACCCGATGTTTTCTGTCAAATATCCCTCTGGGAAAGTCCACTCGCCCTCCTTTGTACTGTCCGTGGAGTGATTGCTCTTGGGAAATACTAGAATCAACCACCCCGCTCACGATGCCCGTCTTGTCCGCAGGATACGCGATCCAAGACGCAGATCCGCTGTAGAGCTGGCTCTCTCCCCAAGTGTCGATATGGACGTCAAATCCTTCACTTGATATATTTGATGCATGAACTCCAATTTTCCAGCACTTCTGCTTATCCATGTCAAACCCCTGGAGCCAGACCACAACTTTGGGAGGCTCCGTAAACGAACGTTCGAACACAACACGTTTTGTGTTTTGTGGTTTGGCTTCATTCCAAGCGTGAAGCTCTAGGGTGTCGAAATTCCCCAACTGAAATTCGGTATCGGTGCTGGCAACTTCAAACCAGGCAGCTCCGGCAGAGTAAAGAAGAGTATCAGCCCAGGAATCAGCATGGATGACAAATCCACTTTGCGTGACGCGATCCGCATATGCCCTTATACGGACGTTGAACTCTTTGCTAAGATCCAGCTCGGTCAAACCAACAGCAATAGTTGGAGGTTCGGCGTATTCCGGCTCAAAATTAACCTGTGTTGCGTTCAACAACTTTGGGTTTGACGAAGGGCGGAAATCCTGCGTGCTGAATCGAGCCCTATTACGCGTTTGTTCGGGATATAATGAGCGAATGAACACTTTATCAGTGGGTGAAAGCACTGTGTTGTTAGGGGTTTCGAAGTCGCCAATTGTCAAATCATTCGAGATTCGGTACAGCATTATTGAAAGTGAGTCAAATGCAGTGTGATATGCCGCTGAAACTGCATATTTATTGAACAGGTTTCGGTCAACATCTTCCTTGGTCCAAGAGTTTGGTGGTCCCATAAAATACTTATAAACCTTTTCTTTGTCCCAAGGGATAGACGCTGCAGGGCTCATGTGTTCATGAATACAACCTAAAGCGTGGCCAAACTCATGAATGGTGGTTCTGCTGAGTTCCTCATCGGTGCTGTTATCATCAAACCAACCAAAATTCATTGTTGGCCGGTCAGACGGAATCTGGAGATTATGTCTCCCAAGATAGGACCATGATCCCCCGCCCTTGACGAAGCTGATCCTGATTTGTGCACTCGCCGAATCATCGAATACAAAATCAATATTCGCGTACTTCTCCCATGTCTGAGCAAAGAATTTGACTTTATTCTTCACGAAGGTGCTTCCAGAGATAAAAAGAACATGGAGTTGAGTTCCAGGCCGCCAGTACGCGGACTTGTCCATGGCAAGCTCCAATGGCCCAGAGCCCAAAGCAGGCAGCACAAGGTTGCTTGGAGGGAGATTTGAATCATTATCAGGGGGTAGAAGTTCGACGCAGATTCTGGTGTTTTCCATATTTATTGTATCTTGGAAATCGGTTATTTGGAACAGGATTGGATATAAAAAATCTAGACTTTGGTTTTAACCAAAAATCTTGGGAAGTTCTTCAAGGTACCTAATTCAGAAGAATATTGGACACAATACGTCTAATGATATCTGGTTTCCTTTATACCTTAGAATGATAGCGCCGTATGTAAGTGCAGGAAAAGCTTGCCAGGCATCAGACATCTGGATTTATAATTAGACTGTTCTAGACAGGTTCTCTTTATCACCGAAGTTGGAGCAAGAAGACTTTAAAGATAGTTATTGGTGGGTAAGCTCCGAACGATGATATTGGTCTGCCGAAACCTAGGTAGAGGCCTGACTGGTACCGGATGGGCGAAGGCGATATGCTCATCTCTCACGTTAAATATTGTAATTGTTCTAAGTGTATGATGCGACGAACGCCTGAATTGATAGGCACGACAACTTGCATTATCTTGGCTACGGTATCCGTGACTTTTTAGATAGGCCTTTTTGACAGGACATTTGCTCTGGGCATTGCACACGGCAGATAATCATCAGATGATGTTATATAGAGTTGGAGAGATATGCTTATAGTGAAAGATAATTGACGTTCAAAGCGCGACCAATAAATCCGGACTAAAGCAACGATGGATCCTCTTGGAATGTAAAATAAAAAGCAAAGTTTTAGGTCGAACCGGTCACACAAACTTCGATCTATACCACGCCACTTTATGTCTGCAAACGGTCTTTTATAGAATCGTGACATGGCTAATCACATCAATATATCTTGATATCAGATTCCAATTCAGTGGGTTTTCACACTTCTATTACACCAAAGCCCAGCTATACCATAGTTCTCTGCGTTTCCTAAACTCTATTCTGGCAATTGGAACAAGACCCTACTAGAATCTTAGTTATTTAATATTGTAAGCTCCCGTAACTAGAGTTTAATGCTTAGACCCCGTTCGAATCCCTATTAAACCTTTAAGGTAAGGATCCGTATAAGTGACCGTTATCCGATATGATATATACTGAAGTTTAAACCTGTTTAGGGACCTAAGAGACTAACTCTAGTGGTCCGAAAGTTCAAGTATTCAGTTCCCAGAGTTAGGCTAGGCTTTTAAGATAGGTAAAGAAGCAGTAGATGATATCTGGGACTGGCATTCATTAGAAAGGTATAGAGTAGAGGAACCACCGGATGAAGCTAGACGTTAGAATATATCTCAGACTAAATCAACTGAGTATTTTGGGTCTACCCATGGGTACCCGCTAAGAACTCACAGGCGGGTTACCCGTGGGCGCTTCTAGGGCGAAATCCGACCGGTGTTTTGGCGATGCCTAGAATAGCCATTGAAGTCCTATAGTCGATTACACTTTCTCAGGGTATTTAGCTCGTATCCAGTTGATACTGATTAGTTATATGTAATTAGAGTGTGGCTTCGACATTGAAGAGGAACCGCAGATAGTCGAACCACGGACGAACTGAGCATAAGGTTGCGGGCTCAGATGATCGACGTATGTCATGTGGCGTACCCGAAATTGGCGGCGATCATCCGCTTGGACGCTAAATTCTAATTTGATCCGAGCAAGTCATCTGATTCTGTAATTCGTTGAGTTCGCAGCTCGCTCCTTCTGGATATTCAAGATTCTATTAAACTAAATGCGGTGCTGTATTAACACCGGATTCCTGTCAATATGACGTACAAACCCTATCGCTCGGTATAGAAGTATAGCAGACGTATGTAAGCGCAATAATGCTTTTAGTCGAAGGCAGGACATAAATTGTAGCGAAATCCCTATCCCACGGGGGTATTCAAGTCACGGTAGATTAGGCTCGACCGTTAACTATGGGCGCGGAGAGTGGGTCCACGGCGACTTGAATTGGAAGAACCGACGGTGACTTGCGAGGTTCACACAAGGCGGATAAGGTTTATAATTTAGGAGGTTCTAATTATATAGCTAATATTTTCCCTACTCACTCCGGAGTATGTAACAACCTTCGTTTAATAAGATATGGCCGATTAAAAATTGACTGTTGTTTGATGGAGTGAGAGGAAAGGTGGGGCCCATTCAATAATCTGGCTCAGGTTTCAGGGGAATATATTTCTATGTGGTAATACGTACTGTGCGCTCTGTCTCCAGTCTACTACGATCCACTTCTCTCCTTTTGTAGTCCGAGTAGGTGATCTTGTGGGATCCTCCGATAGATACGGAGCTTTTTCTGCATTGCTATACCCCTGAGTTCTGGCAATTTATGGAGGTTTCTGACTAACCCGGATTTTTTTTTTTGAAACAGTGCAAATATAGATTCAACCCTCATTTCTGACATTATACTTAAGCCACCCACCCTGATTCCAGTGTAGTAGACTGCACCGACTCCCATTGGATAGATTACCACTTGTATAAGTACTGGTCCCAGGTGGCGTACCATGCGGTGCCGTAATACACCCAGGCGTCGGAGTCGAGGACGGCTACGTGGCCGCCATAGTAGCTCTCGTCGAGCTGGAAGACGGCCCACCAGCCTGTATTGCGTTGCGCGGTGCGGCTGGTCACCCGGGCTTTGGACTGGAACCAGCTCCACATGTCGCGGGCGCGGACCGGACGGCGGGCGGTGGTTGGGCAGCGGGCGTTGATGTGCGGGTTGGGTGGGTTGAGTTCGGTAAAGCCGGCGCGGATGAAGGTGTCGGAGAGGAAGTGGGCGCAGTTAGTTCCCTGATACGAGTCGCCGCCAGCGCAGCTTCTGTGCCAGTAGGCGGCGATGGCGGACATCGTTGGGGTGGCGAAGGCGCGCCGGGTTTCGGTCTCCAGGGAGGCGGCGCGTGGAGCGACGATGGCTGCGGCGGGCATGCCGGGGACTTCGACAGGGGTCGGGGGGGCCATAATCTCCATACCTACGTCAAACGGCACGGCTGGACCATCGCGCAGAACAGACCCGGCGCCGGTGGTGGTGCGGGCGATGCGGAAGCCGCGGGCGCCGGCACGGACCCAGATCCGGATTCGGTGGCCGCTGAGGTCTTCGTGATCGATAATATCGGTCTGGTTGAATGAGTACATGACTTCAGCGGAGACGACGACCAGCTTGTGGCCGGCGAAGTTGCGGTCGTCGCGGCTGTGGCCTTCATACGCGATGGCCGAGGAGCGGGTGGCCTCCATCTCCAGGATCTTGCTGAGGTCTTGGTCGTTGTCGGCCATGGCTGGGGTCCTTACTCAGAGGTCTAACCGAGATGTGGACAGTGTATTGACGAGCGTATACAGAGTGGATTGTCTTAGAACTCTTGTTGAGCTTGATAATTCTCTTGCTGGATGTTGATATCAGTACATGCGGTTCATTTATATATAATGGGCCCACACATTACAATACCAGTTTTTCTAAGATTCATATATAAAATTAAAACTTTAACGTTAGGCAATTTCAAAGTTTAGGTCCGAAGCGGATGATCGCCGCCAATTTCGGGTACGCCACATGATATACATCGATCATCTAAGCCCGCAACTTTGTGCTCAGTTCGTCCATGGTTCGACTATCTACCGTTCCCTTCAATGTCGAAGCTACACTCTAATTACATATAACTAATCAGTATCAACTGGATACGAGCTTTAAATCAATATATGCTAACGGAAAGCAGATACCCTGAGAAAGTGTGATCTAATACCTGGCTTTATCTAGTAGTACCTCTGCTTTCTATCTTCTTAGTTAACGCCAACCCTTGATACCATCTACTGCTTCTTTGCCTATTCAAAAGCTTAGCCTAATGCTGCGAACTAAATAGTTAAACTTTCGGACCAATAGAGCTAGTCTCTTAGCGCCCTAAAGAGGTTTAAATTTTAGTATATATTATACCGGATGACGATCTCTTATACGAGCCCTAATCCTAATCCTAAAGGTTTAATAGAGATTCGACGCGGTCTAGGTATGATACTCTAGGTCTGGGAGCTTATAATGTTTGATAATTAAGTTTCCGGTGGGGTCTTGGTTCTAATTGATAGTATAGAGTATAGGAAATATAGAGAATTATGGTATAGCTAAGCATTGGCGTAACGGAACTATAGAAAGCCATCGAATTAGAATCTGATATCTATATATGTTGATGTGATTAGCTATATCACGATTCTATGAAAGACCGTTTGCAGATATAAAGTGGCGTGTTCTAGGTCGAAGTTCATTAAGACGGCCCAGATAACCATAAACTCCCTAAATCCCATCCTGTTGCTTTACGCAAGCCAGGTAGCAGGCCGAGGAGAAGGATTGTCCGTGAGGACGTAAGTCACCACTTTCTGAATCTCACTAATCGATGATCCCGACCGCACAACCTCGATGATGTGTTGGATATCAGCATCGCTAGTAATTCGGCTTGCCTTAAGAACCTTGTCTAGAAATTCCTGGTAGTACCTGGGTTCAACTTCCATCTTTATAGAATCAAATTTCGGTCGTTTATCAGAGCACTCAAAAAACATATATCTTTACGCGAATCTAATTTTTGAAATTATACTACAACCAGACTGCGACATCGCCTATAGATAGGCTGGTGGGCATTGCCCATGGGCCTTGTATAAGCGGGCAATGGGCACGGTAGAAGTAATTAAAGCACCTCCCTCCCCTCTACGAAGAAGCCCTTCGCCGGCTTTATAACCACGTACGCGGGCTCCGCCAAAGTGCAGTGGTTATAGAGAAATAGGACATAAGATTAATAGATGCCTAGCTAGATAGATGATTTGAGTGAATTTAATTTAATGAAGTTTTGGTAGAGATATATACATTTTAAATTACGTTGGGGTGGCGGCTCGCTTGTGAAATATGTTACTCAGGGACGTGCCCATTTTCACTCAGTGATCAAAAGCGGCAAGAGGTGAGCACTAAAACGGAAAGCGAAAGGTTTTCCCGCTACATATGTGAGTCTGTCATGAATATTGTGCATTTTGATGCTTTGATGAGCAGTCTGGAACTTGTTCTCATGAGAATGAGGTAGTGCTATTCATAAAATAAGAAATGAATGATTTATGCCAAAGCTCAACATGGCTGACACTTGACAAACCGATAGTTACCTAGGCATATCCCGACAGGCCAAGTCCATAGACTTTGCTAAGGTACTAGGTACTTTCTGTAATACGGAATTGTGTGGTAAATTAGAAGTACCGGGTACTTGTTGGCCGGATAACCTGATAGGCGAAATGAACCTCGGCAGTTTCGGTCGAAGCGGACTTCTCCCCATACTTCTTTTAACTCCTTAACTCCTCTTCCTTCTTGCTTATTTTGTTCTCTACTTCTCTACTACTCTTCTGTACAATCTGTACAATCTGTAAGTTCCTCTGCCCCCAAGCTTGATCTATTTGTTTTCACTCTCCTCGCCCCAATCTCCGCACAAGGAAGCTTCCCCGCATTAACACCGAAAACCTCCATACCAAAGCCGGCTTGTTGAATAAAGACAAGCTGTGTAAGGGAAGAAGAGCAAAATACTGATTGTATAATTTGTCCAGTCTCTCCACATTCATACATTATGGCCGCAGATCGTTTAAGCTCGCTCCTGAGCCACCTCAAGCCCGGCGCCGCCAGCGGCCTCGCTGCTATGTAAGTTCTCGGACGAGCTCGAGTTGTGCTTTATGAGTCTAACAAGCAAACACAGCACACAAAAGAACCCCGATGATGTTGTTATTACCCTAGCAATCCGCACACCCCTGACCAAGGCGCGTAAGGGCGGGTTCAAGGACACTGAACTGGACTACATGCTCTACGCCCTGTTGAAGGAAACTCTGGCCAAGTCACAGATTGACCCTGCTCTGATCGAGGATGTCTGCCTCGGCAACGTATGTTGAATCTTTTTTCTTTACTCTACAAATCCATACATGGTTATTCTAACCCTAAAGACAGGTCAACGAAGTTAAAGCCGCCTACATGGTCCGCGCCGCAGCTCTTGCCGCCGGCATCCCCCACACCGCCGGTGCCTCAACAGTGAACCGCTTCTGCTCGTCCGGACTGAAGGCTGTACAGGATATCGCAAACCAGATCCAGCTGGGCGCCATTGACATCGGTGTCGCCATGGGCGCCGAGCTGATGTCCGCCGCTAGCGACCGCCTGGAGCAGCCGTTCAACGAGGAGGTCCTGCGCAACCAGGAGGCCGCCGACTGCATGCAGCCCATGGGCCAGACTTCCGAGAACATCGGAAAGGACTTCGATATCCCCCGCGAGCAGCAGGACCGATATGCTGCTGAGTCGTTCCGTCGTGCCGAGGTTGCCCAGAACAATGGCTGGCTCGATGATGAGATTGCTCCTATCACTGTCAAGGTTAAGGACCCCAAGACTGGCGAGGTTAAGCAGGTGACTCTGTCCCGTGATGATGGTATTCGTCCTGGTACGACTTTCGAGTCCCTTTCTAAGATTCGCCCTGCCTTCCCCCAGTTCGGTGACAAGTCCACTGGTGGAAACTCCAGCCAGGTCACCGATGGTGCCGCCTCTGTTCTCCTCATGCGCCGCTCTAAGGCTATTGAGCTGAACCAGCCTATCCTTGCTAAGTTCTGTGGTGCTACCGTTGCCGGTGTGCCCCCTCGCGTTATGGGTATTGGCCCAACTGCCGCTATCCCCAAGCTGCTGAGCAAGTTCCAGCTTGACAAGAATGATATTGATATCTACGAGATCAACGAGGCTTTCGCTTCTATGGCAGTCTACTGTATCAAGAACCTTGGCCTTGATCACGCCAAGGTCAACCCTCGTGGTGGTGCTATTGCTATTGGTCACCCACTCGGTGCAACAGGCGCCCGCCAGATCGCGACCGTTCTGAGCGAGGCTCGCCGGACAAAGAGTAAGATTCTGGTCACTTCTATGTGTATTGGAACTGGACAGGGTATGGCTGGTCTCTTTGTCAACGAGCAGTTGTAAATATCCCGAGATTAGTCTAATTACGCGATAAAATATACGGACTCTCATGTACAGAAATGAGTTAATTACAAACAAATAGTATGGTATCAAAGGCTATATATAATAAAAGCAAGGACTCATAAATCATGAAAATGAAAATAGTGCACCAAATGAGCGTCCATGATATCACTTAGCATCATCTTGTTTCCCAGCTTGACTCTCCCTCTTCATCCTCTCCTCCGCAGCCCGCGCCATGATTTCCCTGCGAGAAAGCGTCCCGCCAGAAGCACCATTTCCACCGCGGCTTCCAGTCGAGTCACCCTGTAATCCACCAAGGACAAACTCCCCGCCAGTCCATCCACATTCGTCAAACTCCTCCCCACCCTGAACGTTATCCCAATCACCCGGATTGTAAAACTCCTGACTAGACAACTGATTCCCACCAGACTTCCAATCAGCACGCTCAACCTCCTTCTCAATCTGCGACGTCAAATCCCAGAAGTCGCGGTCATGAGGCCCGAACACGCAATGCGCAAGCTCATGACACAACGTCTTCCGAATAGTACGATAATCACGGTATCCGTCATAAGCATCCGTTCGCAGACGTAACTCAATCACCTCGCCTTTATTCCGATTCAGACCGAGCGTGCGCGACTCGCTAGTCGTGTGTTCCGCTGGATTCATTTCTGTCAAGAGCGGTACGGAGAACTTGTGTTTTGTCATTGCGGCACGGATGCCTGGGTCATCACGGAGACGTTTGAGGAAGTCGAGGGAGCGGTCTGGGTTGGGGAGGTATGATAGTGGGAGGAGACGGTGGAAGGTGTAGTTGTTGGCTGAGGATGAGATGGTATGGATGCCGCCACTACGGCTGGAGGAGGGTGTTTGTTTGTTGCGTCTTGCGGCGCTTAGAGCGGCAGCTCGTGATTCTTGTCGTCGCTGTTCGCTAGCGGATTGTTCGTGGAGATCGGCGATTGCTTTGGCCGGGGTGCCGAGGAGGGTGATCTTGAACTTTGGGGAGGAGGTTTGGAGAATTGCATCGAGGAGGGTTGGCGGGAAAGGTGCTTTCTGCATTCCTGGCTTTGGGGCTATGAGGAGCTTTTGGTTGTCGGTGGGGATGTTTAGGACGCGCTCTATCTCAGAGGAGAGGTCTTGTAGTGTTGCTGAGGCGGAGACTTGGATGATATGCGCGGTCCCATGGTGGTGGACAGTCAGCTCCTTGGGGGAGTCCATTATAGCGTGTTGAGATAGGCGATTTTAGAGAAAGAGCGCGTGAAAGAGGAAGTCGCGACAAGAAAAAACCACTTATATGACCCGAATAGGCAGGCGCTGGTGAATTCGAACCGGTTCCACGGGGATAGGTTTTGTCAGCACGGAGATAAGATGGAGCCGTCACAAGCACGTGATATCAAGTTCACGTCGACTTATGCCTCAGGCAGAAACAACTACAACTCACTACTATCGACGAAAAGCCCATGCAGACCACCATGAATAATATCGTCCGGTATGGGAAGCCGAATATTCTCAAACGGAGTATGGAGTTATATTCAGCAATACAAGCAGGGCATCTAGGGCCCCAAAGCCCTTGGACTCACACATTTTTGTGAATGGAACATAAGATTTCCTATCTTTTGGTGGTTGAATATCAAATGACCTTGACCTTATTAATAGTCAAGTCTGACTACGGACATCATCATATGTCCATGCACTATAGTTAGGGATGAAGATCGGAAAGGACAGGCAGAACCAGGACATATGCAGCCAAGCCTCACGGTAGGTGGCGCCTATGGAAGCCTGGGAATGTTGTTCTGATTTCTTTTGTCTCGACTAAAACAAGACAAAAGGGAGCTGCTGGGGATCACTGAATTATAACTATAGGTGCTAGTGTGCACGCTGCCATGATCGATCAAAATTCATCGACATGGGTTCGACAGCATGCTTGTGACTGGAGGCTTTTATATAGTTGGTTCCAGATATGGTACTTTAGGACTTGAATGTATGCACCTAGGAAATAACCAAATAATTCATTTGAAACTGCAAAAGGTGCTGTACACAACAAATCTTTACCTGAATATCCTCTCCACCCGTCACTTGAGGCAAGAAGAAAACAATTGCGCCCAAACTGTGAGTAGAACACCGTTCCTCAAAATAACATATGATTAGATGCGAGATTTGGACGAGGAGCCCTAAGGCCTAAAGAGAAACCCAATAAATCGATAGTCGAAACTGATACCCTTCCCTCCATTGGTACCAGACAGACGTCGTGTGAATGAATGAACCAGAAACTCCGTTAATAAAAGCCACAGAAAACCTATGTCTTTTAGCTGTCCTTCAGTCGCCTCCTCTGCCTCTTCTTCAATGAAACAAGCTTGGGAACAAAGATTAACGACAGGGAACTACCGCAATCTGTGTCGCCGGCAACGGTTGCAGGCCCGCATCCGGCAACTGGTGCACACAAAAATGTACTCCGGTAGAGTATGGTTCCTGACCTCACACTGCAAACTTCCAGTGTTACACCAAGCCCATTGCGAGTTCCTGTGATGCTCGCACCCGTTGTCCTCGTGTTGCCGCAGGTCTTCGACTATCCGGTCAAATGCCCTCTGGCGGACTTGGATATTGACGTTCGCGGGAACCTCTTCATCTACGGCTTGGTTTGCCAGTTCTTCAAGTCTTTCCTCGTGCCAACGTGGGCATTCGCATGTCTTCCAAACCAAGCCACACACATAGCAAAACTCGCGCCCACAACTATCAAGTATTAGTTCTTTCCAATTAGTATCATGTGTTTGTTGTGAGAGACATGGTTGCTTACCGACAGGTCATATGGTTGCAGCCATGGTGAAGTTCTACCATGGTTCGGCAGTTGAAGCATCTCCTCCACTTTTCAGTATCCGCCATTTCAAGCACAGCATAAAGGGGTTCATCCATCGGGCAATCGACACGAGGATGGGCAAGCGAGCGGCATGGTACATGGGTCTGCTGGTGGCATTCGGGGCAGGTGCCGTGCTCGTGCTGGATGGCAAATGGTGGAATGAACTTCGAGCATGTGGGCTCAGCACAGTAAAGACGATCCTTTGCAGTCCATTCAATGGCTCTTTCACTGAAGTTTCGAAGCTCTTCGTAGTTAAGAATTCTCAAGGCAACCCCGGGTGGAATGATATTTCCGCAACAACGAGGCGGGTACAACTCCTCATCTTTGATGGCGCCGAGGAACATCTGTCTCGTGCAGTCCCGGCAAAACCCGTGGCCACAGGCACCCTTAAATATGATGGCGTTGACTTTGGTGAAGCAAGAAACACATTCTCTCATAACGCTGCTTGCTCGAGGTGGATGTACGCGCGATGAACCTTCTCCGTTATTATATGCTTTGTCACTCAGAGTCATCCGGCCCATGAGATCTCCCATGACAATGGACACGGCATCATCATCATCGTCGTCGTCGTCGTCGTCGTCCGGCGATGTGATCTTGCTTGTCACCGAGGGGTTTGAAATGTGATTAGAGGTCGAGGTTCCATTGCTCAGAGCGAGAGCGAATTGGCGGTCCTGATCAGCGACCCTTTCCTGGCGTTGGAAAGATGCCAGTATCTTTTGATCGATGGCAATTGCGGTACTCGTGCTAATCGTCAATACCTCATCCGCGATGGAAATCTGTGTGGACCGAATATCCTCCCTCAAGCACGCGATGGCAACTTCAAGGTCTGTTTCCTTTCCTGCAGCCTGCTTTCCTTTCTGCCTGTTCTGTAGGTGATCCAAATCTTCCAGAAGAAGCTGGAGGATCATTCGCTTATCTTGATCTTGCTCCATCTTGAGTGGTAGACTGGAGCTTGGAGGGGCGGTACAATGTAAGAATAAATGAGTAGTTAGTTAGTCAAAGGGGTATGGGGGAAGATGGGAGGGAGAGAGTTGACTCAAGCAGAGAGAGGAGAAGGAATAAGGAAGATTGACTGTTTGGAAGTCTGGTGAGACATAGTCTCGCGAGGCGTTTAGAGTGCCCAGAGTGGTCAACACATGACACTGAAATCGGTTGACACTTGAGTTCTTTTTTGAAGTCATGTAGAATTATCGAACTTTGCTTCTTGTCCTTGATGCAGACTATCATATGGGCTTTGTCTCTTAAGTGTGAACTATTGTCATTATCTTCATGGTATAGGAGTATAGTTTCTATTCACCACGAGCATCACAATGGTCATCAATCTCTGCCTTTTCCCCTTCCATATGATAATTACCACGATATCTATGATTGCTACACTTGCTATGATAGCTAGTGCTTAGCATAGTGCCGGTAGAACTGCCACGACGATATAGTCTCAAATAGGGACCCAGGGTTTGATAGCCAGTTTGTTTATAAAATGATCCAATCTTATAGTTTTTGTTTTAAACCTTGGTATGTTCTTTTCCCCCATCTCCCTTTCTCCAATTCTACATCCCACTTCTGTGCTTCCATTGCCTGGAAGCAAACTCCATCATGTCCATGAACATGTTGCAAGCCCTACCGATTGAAATTACACACCCTCAATGCTCTTAAGGCTTTGAATAAGGCTTCGGCTTGGACTACTGTCCAGACTGCTGCTCATCAAAGCCAGATTGTCGCCTTCAAGTTTGTTGGCTTCATCATATCTCGGAACTACCTTTTTGAAATGTCTACTGCCCGCATAGATGTTTTGATGGGTGGGTGGATGGGACTCAATTCCAGATTTTCAGGTCTTCTCTATACCCAGGTCTCCTGCTAGCTCACTGATGAATGTTTCTGAAGGTTCCATCCGTGTGAATTTGACTAAATAATAATTTCATGGTCCTACCCAAAGTAGTGGCAATATGTTCACCTACAACTGCCTATGCTTAGTGTATTGTGCATCAAGTCTAGAAAGTTAGGGGAAAAGTGGGTTTCTTACTTGGCAGCGATGCCAGGACCTGCATTTCGACGTTGAACGCAAGGGATGAGGTGCGATGAGGACAAGTCACATCGCTAATGAGGCATGTCGATACGTATTCTATAGGGTGTCGAAAATTGAAGACAAAGGCATTGAGTATATTTTCATCTATTCATAACATCCAAGGGAACAGGAACGATCTACATCATAACCGTTTGCCATTAGAACAAGAAAAAAAAAAGTGGCCAACGATTAAAAGCCGATCGAAATCTCTAGCTCCATGAAACATCTCTTAAAAAGGTCCTTTTCGTCATAACGCGGCGATTCACCCCTGGTCCAAATTAATTCCCGTAGAGAATCATGTTGGATCAGAGTAAAGCGCAGTTTTGAAATCGGGGTTTCTCTACCCGACCCCAAACAAATAAGGAAATACGTCAGTAAATCATTCCATCGTGGAAATGCATTTACTGCTTCTCCTCAGTCTCGGCCTGGGCCTCGCCTTCGGCGGGGGCATCCTTCATCTCGGCGTCACCCTCGGTGGTCTTCTTGGCGTTCTCTTCAGCCTTCTTGGCCTCGATCTCGGCGCGACGCTTGGCGGCAGCCTCCTCGTCGGCCTTGCGGACGGCGTCACGCTCGGCCTCGACCTTCTCCTTGTAGCGCTGGATGATGGGGCCGGCAATGAAGCGGATGTCATCCATCCTGGAGACGTAGACGGACTTGGTGGCGTCCTCACCATCCTCGTAGAGCCAGTCCTGAGATGATTCGTTAGTATGGTTGATTGTAATCACTATTGCCAAATCCTGGGTTGAGACTCACCTCGGTGTCCATCAGCTTGGACTTCAACTTCTCCTTCTCCTCCTCGCTGGCGAACTCGGAGTACACGCCGTCGATCTTGTCACGGAGCTCGTAGATGGAGGCCTCGAGCTCGTTCTTCTTCTCGTCGGTCTCGGCGACAAGCTTGTCCTCCATGTACATAGCGTTCTCGCGCTCGGTCCAGGCCTCCTTGGTGGCCTGGTCGAAGCCGCCGGTGGCGGAGGCAATGGGGAGATCACCCTTGCGAACCTGCTTCTTAACCTTGCGGGTCTTCTTGGGCTGCTCCTCCTTGGAGTCGGTGTCCATGTCACCCTCCTTCTTCTCCTCCTCGACAGGCTCCTCGACCTCCATATCCTCGACGTAGTATCCGGACTCGACGTTGAGAATACCGTGCAGGTTGAGACGGGCCTTGAGCTTACAGATCATGAAGTCGTTGTTGGCATCGGCCTGAACGCCCTTGACGGAGAAGCGGCCAATCCAGGGGTTGACCTTGCCGGGCATAGCCTCGACATCGGAGTAGCGGGCCTCGAGATCAAAGGGCTGCTTGCGGTAGAAGGTGAGGATCTTGGTGGAAGGCATGACGTTGCCACGGCTGAAGACAGTGAGGCTGGTGTCCTCATCGGGGATCTCGGGGGACTGCTCCCAGGTGAAGTCGATGGGGTAGTTGACAATGTCGTGAACAGCGAAGTCACGGACACGGAAAACGGGGGAGAGAGTAGCACAGCTGAAAGCACAGCCGCGGGCAATAGCCTCATCCTGGTTCAGGGTGAAGGACAGACCCTTGCCGAAGAACTTGCTGATGGTCTCCTTGATAGAGGGGACACGGGTGCAGCCGCCAACCATCTCGATCTGGTCAATGTCCTCAACGGAAAGCTTGGCCTCGGAGAGGGCCTGCTCCAGAGGAACAGTCAGGCGGTCAAGGAGAGGCTTGACCATGAGCTCGAGCTCCTCACGCTTCATCATAGCGCGGACGTCAGTGTCATCCATAAGGGACTCGACGCTCAGAGGTGCCTGGGCGTTGGCGGACAGGACCTTCTTGAGCTTCTCGGCGGCAACCAGGGTACGGGTCCAGGCCTTGCCGTTAGTGTGGATGTCAACCTTGAACTTCTCCTTGAATTCGACGGCGAGGTGCTCAGTAATAGCCTTGTCGAAGTTACGGCCACCGAAGTGACGATCGTAGGCGGTAGCCTTAACGTTGAGCTCACCCTTGCGGAACTCAACAATGGAGGCAGTGTAGTCGGAGTAACCAATGTCGATGAACATCACACGGCGGGGCTTCTCCTCTGGGGCGGGGAGATCCAGTTTGGTGATACCCCAGCCGAGAGCGGTAGCAGTGGTATCGTTGATGAGACGCAGGATGTTGAGACCGGCAATATCACCAGCGTCAAGCATAGCCCGGCGCTGCACATCAGTGAACCAAGCAGGAACGCTGACGGTGACGTCGGAGACGGGAGCGCGCAACTCCTTGGAGGTGATGTCCTTGATCTTGGAAAGGTAGGAAGCGACCAACTGAGTCGCTGTGAACTTCTCCTTCTTTCCGAGGTAGTTGACCTCGACACCAGCCTGGCCATTGACGTCGACCAGGGTGCATGTGTTGTATTCCTGCTCGATGGCGACATCGGGGTCGTTGAAAGAACGGCCGATCAGGCGCTTGAGGGAGCTGACGGTGTTCTTCAAGTTAGAGATCTCCGCACCTTTAGCGGCCTCACCGAGGTTTCGGCTGCGAGGTGTGAATCCAACAACGGAACTAAAATTCGAATCAGTATTATGTTATCTGGTGGACAGCGGGGGTTTGGGGGCCGTACGGGGTCTGACGGTTAGAAACCTCATTGGCAATCTATAATATCAACAACAAACAGTTAGCGCAATTGTTCAAAAATTGGTGAGGTCATGATTTATCCCGAAAGAAGACTCTAAGTCCGGATCAAGACCGTGGGGTAACACGCACAATGTCAATGCCCTTGTTGCGGGCAACACCAATCTTGGTGCTTTGCGCACCCAAATCTATGCCGACGACACTCATTATGGAAGAAAGTAGGGGAATATGGGAGGTAGGGAGGTAGAGGGAGATGGAAGATTCAAAGGAAGAAAAGTGAGGGAAGTCGGAGGGGAGAATTTGCACGCCACTCCACTATTATTGGAGGGGCGATGACCAAGTGTCAAGCGGTCTGGCTGATCTTTAGGCGCCAAACTAAGGAATTTCAAATTTGGGGTATAAATGGATAACGTAAAATGTGTCAGAGAGTGCTTTCTTTCTTTCATTTCCCTCTCTCCCACTGGTCTATATACTTTTCTTAGCATTCGGACTGTGCTGGCACCTCATCGAACCTTCTGGCGGCTGCTGGACTACCCACTTTTCACCGCCCGCTTCTGCCAGGCAGAATAAAAATCGATCACCGCCCTATGAGGAATCTACGGTGGATCATTGGCTACATCAGGTACATATCCTTTGGACTTGAATGTGGTTTGAATTCTAAAAGCTATATAAAAGCGAAACAAAGTAGAATCACACCATTTAAAAAAGCCATAAGAATAGGATGGCTAAAAATGCTATGCTCAAGCGCGATTCAATCGGATCGAAAAAAAAAGAAGAAAAAAAAAAAAAGAGGAAAAAGAACCAAACTGACGTCATGCACCTGGCACATATGTTCCTGTTAGACAATAATATCATGGAGGTGGGTCACGGGGTTTGAAAGCAGCTCGGCGCCAAGTAACTCGGCAATATTTGTTCTGGCTCTGTGTAGACAGGAGGGGTGCTTCAAGAGCGCGCAGTGTGGTATGCTCCTGGTGGGTGGTTGAGTCCCAGGGGATCGCGCTCGGATGCTGAAACTATAGGCTGAAGAGTGACTCCATCATCAAAGCGGTTCTCCGAATTGTGACCACCAAGGCTCACCGAGCCTGCTGATGCCCGGCCTTGCCGTGCATAATAGAGCTTCTTTTGGTCTTCTTCACTCATCAGGAGGGTTTCCACGTTCTGTGGCATAGCGACCGAGCTAGAGCCGCAATCCGATGATGCACTGAAAACAGAGTCATTCGAATGCTGAAAGAGAGGAGGTGACTGGTATTGGGGATTTCGGGGGTTTTCCATCGCGTTGACCATCCGCGCAAGTGCGGGCCCTGGGCCGGCTGTGTTGACATAAAACCCATCAAGCAGCTGCTTGGCAGGTGCAAATCGACCTTCCACATTATCCGACGGGCGGACGGGGACGGATCTTCGGCGCATAAGGCTGTCGCGGAACGTATCGAGGTTCACATTGAGCTCATCGCCTTGCTCCTTTGCCCGTTCAACTGCTTCTCCTGGCGTAGTATGGTCATCAGCAGTGGCAGCATCGGCTCGTGGTCCACCCCAAGTTCGCTGACCGGCTGTGAAAATACCATAGACCATGTAAATCCAGTTGAAGAACGGGTTCACAATGAACATGATCGGATAAAGCCAGGCTTTATAGCGTCCGAGACGCAGGCCAAAGTATAGCATGAGTAAATAATTCAACCCCAAGGAGACCCCCATGAATCCCACAGGAAGATCGTTCACCTTCTTTGAGGTTGTAATCAGGGCAATGATCATGATGAAAAAGAGCAGTGCGGTCGTTCGGATCGTATTTTGCATGAATCTAACCAGACACAGAAGGGGGTAGCGCACCCAGAGCCGGACATCAGTGATCATGCAAACCTCGTTGGTGATGAAACCTAAAAACCATCGTCGACGTTGCTTCAAGAGAGTACTAAAGGTCTGGACGGCTTCTGTCTTGCAGAAGGCGCTCATACACAGCTGGATTTGATACCGCTCCGTGGCGCCAATCATGAACAGGTGAGTGAGCCATCGGTCTTCCCCAAGGTGACATTTTCCGTAGTCAAAGAGATCTTCGCATTGTTCAGCCTTGTCCGAAAAGTAATACTTGGCCATCTTGCGGAAGGCCGAGAAGCGTAAAATAGTCAAAGCCCCAGGGAGACAAGTCACCGCACCACAGCCAGACTCAACGGATCGTTCAAAAAGCTGACCATGAACGTATTCCATGTCTTGAAGGATAGTCAACAAGCTGTTTTTCTCCGTTGTCGACGTAATGATACCTGTCATTGCAAGCATATTGTGATTGCTGCCCGGCTTAAGTTCCATGTCGTACATGAAGTTCTGCAAGCAAACTCGATCAAGAATGCAGTCGGAATCGATGAAAAGAACGAACAAATTATCATGTCTCTTCAGGTACTCAGCATAGACCTTGTCGATCAGCCTAAAAGTATGCTTTTGGCAGTGCCTTTTACCGCCATGTTTGAACCGAGATACCGTAATCCGTGCACCCTTGTAAATACAGTCAATGCTCGGAGGATAGCTCTCCAGTGTGGTCGGAATACCGAGATGGTTGAGGACACGGAGGTATGGCTCGTCCACCTTGCCACCATCGTATGAAAGAAAAACATGGATGCAATTTGCAGGATAGTCGCAGTCAACCACGGAATTGATGGCTTTAATCAGGACACTTGGGTCCTCCTTGTACACTGGCATCACAACCACAGTCTTCGGGGCTGTTCGATCATCAAGCACTCGTTTGATCCTCTTTTTTCTCCCCAGTGAATTCGTAGCGAGCCCGTAAACACAGAATAGCCATGGTCCGATTAGAAGAATAGAAAACGACCAAAATGCGAACACTTGAAACCCATGTACCATCTCGTGGGGTAAGTCAACCGTGACCTGTGGAGGCAATGGCAGGGTTACGAGCATGACTGGAAGGAATGCTAGTCTGTCATATGAGTTCGTCAGCCATCTCCCTGAATGAACCTACTTCGCAATGAGCTCTTGATGTTCAAGAAACCTACCGTATCACCGTGAACAAGAAGATCATCACCACGGCGAGGACTCTTATACTCCAATGGTCGGCTTTCATCCAAACTTTGATCAGGCAGTAGATGAAGGCGCTAAGCCAGAGCATCCATTCGAACAGGGCTGCAAGCATCAATGGGCCGACGATTGAGAGGTAGATTATCTGTCGAGGGTGGTCAGGATGGTATCCCAAGCCCAGTGGGGAGAGAGCATACGTCTTTGGTCGGCCAGGTCCCCTCAACTGACGAATCTCTTTGTGATAGTATCATGTTGACTTGCCGACCCCACTTTCTAGCCTGTTGAATGTCGAAAACAGCACTTGAAGTAAAGGTTGAAGGGTCCGAAGGTATGATATGTGGAGAATGAAGGCCTTGATACCAATTTTGCTTAGCAGAATTGGAGATCTGGGAGCTGGCAGACGGGTACTTACAAGTCAGGGCCTGGTAATGTTAAGATCCGGTAAACGGGATGCTCAGATTACAACTGTCCTTGAAAGAATATCCATCTGAAGATATGTGTTGATATTTGGTAAGAGTGAATGATCTGTGACAAGGTGAGTACGAAAGCCGCCGGGAAGGGGAGGTAAATGGGGTCAGCACAATGATAAACCTATCTCGACCTTGGGGAAGGTGCGATGTGCCTCAGGTCCTTCCACTTTGACGATGACGATTGACGAAATGTGTGAGCACATAATGTAAGTACTAGGGGTCATACTGATACTTCCATCTAAAATGATTTCATTCATACTTTTATTCATCTCTTGTCATTCTAATTCCTTGAATACAATGCAGACAATAGAAGACAATGTATAGAGAACGTCGAATTACCCAAAAGGGAATGGTTCGAATCTGCGCTAACCAATTGCGGACTAGTGGCTGCCTCAGGCGCCAATGGAGCTCAAAAAAAATTCCCAGATTCTCCCCGCTGCGAGATTGTCACAAGCGCAATAGCATTCTGAATAGCGCATTGATCAATCTATAAAGGTATTGTTACCCTATGTCCCCACATTATCTATAAATCCCCTTCGATCCCTTGTGCACTTTCTGCTTTATTTAACTCATTTCCGTCGCGCCGAATCTTCTTGCTTATCATCTTTTTTTTTCAACATCTGAAATAGTCTCCACATACATTTCGCAACTATGGCCGAAGAACAGAAGACCCCCGTTGTCAACACCGAGGCTGAGAAGGATGTTCAGAACGTCCTTGCCGAGCTGAAGGAGGAAGGCGCCACCGAGCAGCCCGCTCAGGACGCCGAAGAGGCTCGCATTGTCGCCGAAGCTGCTAAGCTCGGAGAGAAGTCTGAGAAGGCCGAAGAGAAGACTGGAGAGTCCCAGACTGAGAAGCGCGAGACCCGCAGCTTCCAGCGCGATGGCCGCGGTGGCCGTGGCCCTCGTCAGAACAACGCCAAGTTCGATCCCTCCACCCAGGAGGTGACCGACGACCCTGTGCAGATCCGCAAGCAGGTATGACCATTTGAAATGCTCTTTCGCTAGATCTCAACTAATGCGCACACCCTAGGTCGAATTCTACTTCTCCGATTCTAACCTCCCCATGGACAAGTTCCTGCTCTCCAAGGTTGGCGGCAGCGCCAACAACGCCGTGCCCCTTGAACTCCTTCACTCTTTCAAGCGCATGCGCCGCTTCCAACCCTTCAGCGCAATTGTCGAGGCTCTCAAGACTGCCGAGAACGTCGAGCTGACTGAGAACGACACCGCCGTCAAGCGCAAGGTCCCTCTTCCCGAGTCCGTGAACGAGCACGATTCCAAGGCCATCAAGGTCTTCGAGGATGCCTCCATGGCCCGCTCCATCTACGCCAAGGGCTTCGGCTTCGGCGAGGAAGAGCCCACTACACAGCTCGATATCGAGGCTCTTTTCGCCCCCTACGGTCCTACCAACGCCATCCGCCTACGCCGCACTCACAACGACAAGACCTTCAAGGGCAGCATCTTTGTTGAGTTTGAGTCCGAGGAGAAGCAGAAGGCATTCCTCGCTCTGGAGAAGAAGCCCCAGTGGAAGGACACTGATCTCGAGTTCAAGAGCAAGAAGGAGTACTGCGACGAGAAGGTCGAGGAGATCAAGAATGGCAACGTCTACCCCTCCAATGCTCGCAACAGCGGCGGCCGTGGTGGCCGTGGCGGACGTGGCGGCCGTGGTGGTCGCGGTGGCCGTGGACGTGGTGGTGGCCGTGGCCGTGGCGGCCGCGATGGCCGTGATCGCAACGACCGTGATGGTCGTGATTGGCGCGAACGCCGCACCGAGGACCAGCAGAATGGCTTCCAGGCTCCTCGTGAGGCCCAGAAGGACTCTCGGTAAGTCAAACTGATCTGATTTCGTAGTGAGTGTATCAATGCTGACTTTAATTACAGTGGTGTCCCCGTTGTGCAGAGCACCCAGAAGCGCTCCCGCGAGGATGAGGGTACCAACGGTGGTGACCACCCTTCCAAGAAGGTGGATGCCAAGGAATAAGGTGTTTATTTCGGCAGACTGCAATGACTTGTCTTTAATTCTTGTTCTCTGATTCGGTCAATCGGCGGGATTGATTCAAAAAGTATTGCGGATTGGAGATCCGACCTGCCTCTGTTTTCCGATTATTTCATAGAGGTGAACCTTCTCTCGGCGTTATGTCATTTCATTACGAGCATCTACGGGTTGGCTAGGTAGGCCTCGGTGGCTACGATTAACCGGGGCCTGGGGTTTGATATGTACAAATGAGACTTTGAACGGACTGTTCTCACAATTCTTCCTATGGAAAATCTAGTAGATCCTTAGAACTAGCTACGTCCACGTCACTTGGTATATCAGACAACTAGAACTCGAGATCATACGCCAAAGTATCGTCGCACAGCTCCTCACGCATTTTATGGACCCTTCAAAGTGTCAGCAAATCAGCACACGGTCCTCACTGAGCCTAAGATGAAGAATACTTACTCCAAATGAGCAGGGTGCACCGCATAGGTAGCGATATGCTCAGCTGTCTCCAAAACAGCAACAAGTCCCATATCGAAGCCCTGGGCACGGGGGATCGAAATCGGCAGCGGGGGACCACTCTTCAGCGACAGCAATCCTATTACGAGGGTCTCCATGAGAAATAGTCTCATTATGAACTCCTAGGTCTCACTTACCAGGAATCTTCCCCACCATTCCATGGCATGTCTCCTTCCAGGTGGCGATCTGAGCCGGGGTGACGCCGGGCTTGAGGCGGAAGAGGACTTGGAGCTTGGTTAGTGATCGAGGTCTTTGTGACACTCGGCTATGTCTAACTCACCAATGTGATAAACTGGCATTTTGGCTGATTCTTCACAAATGAGGATGCACGTACGTTGGCAGGTTTATGTATCCGGTGATTGTGTCATTACGCGGGGTGGAGGTGGGGTTCTCGGCCGATGTCCGATGGTTTGTACGGATATCTTCTGCGCTGATGTTATATCCGTCGATGGCAGTGGACTTTGGATTCCACTGAGAGGCCGTCTTGAAATTGTTTTGTTTTTTACAGTGTTACATAACTCTGGCTGTAAATGTGTAAATGTGTTCATACCTCAGTCAATTTCAGTATAAATTCATGTGAGCCTTAATCGGACTTTCTTGCATGAAATGAAAGTCAACGTTGGTTTGGAGAGAGATGCAAATACAATTATCTATCAAGCCTCTTCCTATTTTTGTCTCGAGAAATCTTCTATACCCTGCACTAGGCATGAGTTTCTGCTTTTTATATGTTGTTTATAGTTTCTAACTATAAATCAAGATCCACACACCATTATATAGCTTTCACAAATCCGTCCTCAGAACTCTCAACGTTCGACTATATATTTCTTGGGCCTTGTATGATGATCCTACCTACGGTCCGACGTCACGCTTATGTTTCCATGCTTGCTTTTTATAAAGTCCTTTATCGGCCTATAGACTATGGCTGCGTCGTGTAATAACTATACTATTTGCTTCATTAGTCCTAACTCGAACGAGTTGATGTTTGCTGTTGGCTGTCTATAATGCTAGGACCCTTATTTGAAGAGCCTCACCCTCCGTAGCTCTCATCTAGCTAAAATAGCTTCATGGAATACCACTTGTTATTACTGTTGTGCTTCACCATCTCATCCTGACCGAAATGACGTCGTGCATCCTTCATCTGAATGGGATCACGTAGTGATACACAACCGCGAAGGTCCCAGTCAATGGTAACAGAAAGTTGTCCCATGGGGGGTAGCAATAGCACTTATGCCATCAATGCTCGGTCTCAAAGCAACCAGCACCCTCGTGGCAACTGAAAAGACCCTTGCACCAAAGACGGCAAGAGAAACAACGGTGATAGTAACGGCCCCGCTACCGCCCGTATTCGTATCCGTTATCGCATGGTTCTTATCGGAGCTTCATCTTGAGGTCTGACCACCCTTCCCCCCTCCCCGATGGAGGCAAATTTTCCAGACCTGCACTAGGATGCGTCGTGGTCTGTTCCGGCTGGTCTTAGATATGTCGCTTTTTTTTGATAAGCAGATACCTGCGTAGTTAATTTCTACTATAGAACCAGACCAAGGATAGTAGCGATGTAGTTGGTAGTATTAAGATATCCATATATGTATGTAACACACTGGGCATAGTTGTAATGCTCGGGAAGGCCAAGGCCGACGTTATTAAGTCTTTCTTGAGGACTGTCTATGTCTATTAATATACTAATGTTATAGATAATAATACATAGGCGACAAGCTCTAGCATCAAACTTGCACAGCTCAAATTGTGCCTGCTTATGTGAGACATTGAACCCGCCAATGGGGTAGATGTGGAGCTCAGGGGATACGTGTCGTATTGTGGCTTTGCCAAGCCTATCTCCACAAAACGCCTCGAGGCGTTTGAAAAGTTGCTACTGGGCAGTTTCACATGGGCTAATACGCATACGATTGCACTATGGACGGCATTGGCGGTTTTCCATGTTTCCATGCTCGTATTAATGCCCCAGAATAGCCCAGGGGCCAGATGTCTCGTGTGCCCACCTACTATTTTCGTAGTCTTGGCGGGGGGCGGGAATATCTGATTAGGGAGATTCTGCCCTATGATGATGGGGATTGCTGATCTTTGCCTCCCAAAGACCCTCGGGATATTATTTGCACACACATCTCTGGGCACGTCTAGACAGTGGGCCCTATGTGGACCTTGTCGTCTTCTATGATTATTCTTCGAAAGCTCTCTCCTTATTTCTGTCCTCTCCAAATCCTTGTAGTTATCCGATTCCGTCCCATCACTCTTACCTATTACTTTACATCCATGGCTGGGAAACTTCTGTCCCTCAGTCAGTCCAGGTGCAACATTATTGCATGATTTGACACATTCCAGCTTTTTTTCTGTACATATTATGAAACCTGCCTGGGAGCTGCACGGGGGTCTTTCCCACCGGCTGCGTGGGAAGCTTGAATCTGCAGCCATCTTCGCCATCAAAGTCGCCAGATCCCCTCAGGCCCATCTCGACCATGCCTGGGCAGCCTCCCGTGCATATTTCTTTTCGGTCATTTTCATCTCCCTCTTGCTTTCCAAAGCCTTCCATATCTACGTCCATCTCAAGGCACTGACGGTTCTATCCCTTCTCGCCTGGGGCCCCACCTTCTTTTTGCTGGATATTCTGCTCATTCTGGGCACGCGTAGCCTGGCCCGATCATACCAATGGCGAACGACTCGGGATGTAGCGGCTGTGTTTATCACGTTATTCGGGTAAGCAGACGTTCATTGGATTCACGGACAAATAGCACATTGCTGATTATTTCCCAGTCTAGGTGTCTCGTCGATGATTTCCGCCAACATCTCGTTTTACCTCCACATGGGCTCGGAGATCCACTGGCGCATATCAAGCGGCTTCCGCAAGGAGAAGCCCACCGCCGCGACTGTCTTGTCAGCCCTGTCCGTCGCTATCCTTCTCGAGACATCCATTTTGGTCGGCGCATTCTACGCTACACCGTATCTATCCTGGGTTACTGCAGCTTTCTTGAAGGTCTGGGGTGCAGTGTTGTCCGCGACGTACCGCTACTTCCGTCCCAATAAACAAGCTCTGCCACACCCGGATATCTATGAGCAAATTGCAATCGACGACTATGAACTGGGCGATGATACCAGCGACTCCGTATCGCTGCTGGATGCACCTCAGGACCCGCCTGTACAGAAGAGTCGGGCATTGCTGAAGCCCGCTATCGTCGTATCGTGCACCGCAATTCTACTTTTCCTCAGTGCCGTTCGCCCCCACGATATCGCTTATAGTTTCCTCTCCGCATCTTTGCCTCTCGCGCCATTTGGCGGCATCAGGTTTGAGTCTTCTCAGCGAACTGTTGCATCGTTGCCGGGAGATTACAGCTGGCTAGAAGGCAAAACTGCACTAGACACCTTCCCGACATTCGATTGGCTACATACGGGTGATGCGGCAACTGCCTTCCCGGATTGGTCTCCCTTCCACATAAGTCATTTCAATGACACCGCGCCCAAGGACTATAAGTATGAACACTACAACCCGATGAAAGATCCTTTGCACATTCCCAACCTTCAGAACGACATTCTGGAGCCCATCCGTGACATGCTCCACAGCGGAGACGTCAAGATCAAGCATATAATTCTCATTAAATTAGAGAGCAATCGGCAGGATGTGTTTCCATTCCACTTCGACTCTTACATCATGGAGCATATTAGAAAGTCTTGGGACGGAAAAATCCCTGACGCGGTTATGGAAAAACTGGCCAATCTCACCCCTATCGCCGAAAGGTTGACCGGATTTGAGACCGGGTTCAAGAACAAGGATCGTCCAAAGCCCTATGGCGGCCTTAGCGCGAAAAAGGCTTACACATCCGGTACATACACCATGAAGAGCATTACAGGCACTATGTGCGGTGTGAGCCCCATGGCTGTTCAAGATAATCTTGAGTACTTCCACGATATTTACCAGCCTTGTCTACCGCACATATTTGAAGCTTTGAGCCAACAATCAAACATAACCACTGACACTGAGGATTGGACCTCCTGGCCATGGCATTCTAAATGGATGCAGTCCCATTACGGTACCTGGGACCACCAGCAGGACCTTACTCCTACCATGGGATTTAAAGATATCACGACAAAAGAATCAATCAATGATGCTGGTGCCATATATATCCCGGAGGAGCCGGAAGATGAGCAGAAATATGGTCACCCGGATCACACTTTGAAGAACTATATGCGGGATGCATTTGCCGAGGCCAAGAAGAATAACACTCGCCTCTTTATCGGTCACCTAACTCACAACACCCATACTCCTTGGTTTAAGCCTGGTGACTACGAGGATTTCTTTGGGAATGGCGCTGGATGGAACGATAAGTTGAATCGGTACCTAAATACTCTCAAGTATCAGGATGACTGGCTGGCCACTATCCTTGAGATTCTTGCCGAGGCTGGAGTCGCCGATGAAACCCTGCTCGTCATGGCAGGTGACCAGTAAGTTATACTCATTTCTTGCAAACTATGAGACTTTCCATTAACTTGATTATAGCGGTTTATCTCTTCCAAATGACGGTGGTATAACGGCCAACCATGACCCCCACGTCGGCAGCTTCCACGTTCCCCTACTCTTCGCCCATCCCAAGCTACCCGCGGTCGAAATCAAGAGCGCCGTCCTCTCGACTCAAATGCTCCCTAGCATCCTTGATATGTTAATTGAAACATCCAATATCAACGAGCAATCAGCACATATATTGAAGGACCTACTTCCCTTGTACGAGGGCCAGTCGTTGCTACGCCCACTCATCCCCGAGCAGGATAAGAAGCAAGAGTGGCATTTCTCCACAATGAACCCTGGAGGAACGTGGGTCTCTATGCGAGCAGCCGCGAAACCGTACCGTCTCGTCGTGCCGCTTATCTCAAATGCCCCGTGGCGATTCAGCAATGTTGTCGCCGACCCACTTGAGTTCGCTCCCGAGGAAGACCTCGATATCGCGACTCTGTTTGATGTTGTACAGACACGACACGGGCCCGAAGCCGCCAAGTGGCTTAGCGAGGCCGCTCATATCTCGCAGTGGTGGATTGCGGAGAACCACCGACGCTGGAAGTATAGTCCCGATGACCCGAGGCCTTGAACTTCCCTCGTGCTATGTCATAGATTTAGCCACAAGCAGAGAATGCGAAAGAGTCTGGCGCTAGGCTCCGGTGAGGCACCTGCTAAAGGGTGATGCGAATTCAGCCGGACATGTTTCTGTACCTGCACATATATTCATGATACCCGTGCCATGTTCTGCATGCAGCACTATTTGTTCAATAAATGCACATAGCGGCGGTTTTGGTTTGTCTATTTCCCAGGGAATGTACCCACTGAGAAGCGTTCAAGTGATACCACCGAGACAGTCGGATGATTTTGTTTTTTACTTCTCAACCTGCAACTTTTACGATGCCTTGGTCGATTTTCTAACGCCATTGTTCATCTGTCAAAACGACTTTTGAGTACCACAGTGCATAGCGATAAATTGGGATTTTGTCTTTTTGGCTTTGGAGATTGACTGCTTGTACATATCTCTGCCTTCTTCAATGTGATTTCTAGCATTTTGGAATAATACATATTTCGAACTCTAGCCAGTACTCGTGACCTGGCGGCAGTCATAATAACAATATCGAAGCCCGTTATACCACTCCTGATCGAGACGTGGGTCTTCTTCATTCACTGTCTCCATATACGAACATCCTGTCCTCCACAGGAAGAGATTCTTTCTCTTTAGGACCTTCGACAGGCTCGTCGAAAACAAGCTGAGCCTTCAACTGCCACGTAGCTGGGACTTTCCATTCCTCACTAACCATTGAGTCCACCAGAGGGCTGTAATGTTGGAGTGAAGCGCCAAGGTCTTGCTCACTCAGAGCCGTCCAAAGGACGTATTGATGAATGGCATTTGTGTGCTCTGACCAGACGGAGAAATTACTAGCATACGTCGGGTATTTGTCGGACATGGCTTACACTGGATCTGGGTCTTCAAAGAATAGGATTGAGCTGTATCCATTTCGGAACCCGCTCATCTTCTGTTCTGTGGCACCTTTGAAAGCATCTTCTCCGATTTTGGCCTTCAAAATGCCTGACGTGTTGTCCCAGAACTTTTTGTGTTCCTCTTTCAGAAGAAGCACAATGCGGGTAGATTGGCCGTTGAAACAAGAGGGAGCGTTGAGGATTGTTGTGGACACTAAGTTGCGTATTTCCTTGTCGGAAATTGGGGAGCGATTGCCGATCTTGTATACGGAACGGAGCGCCTGCCAACGACGGCTTTGATGAAGGGTGATAGAGACATTGTATGAAAATGGCAAGATGATTCCAAGAAGACGAACTAGATGAAGTGAAGCGAGTTACGGGAATCGTCCCACCGTCGGTAGATCTGGCTTTCATTTATGCTTAAATCGTTCTCTTAACTCCGACAATTAGGGTTATATCCGGAAGCCCGTGAGCCTTCAGCTCCGACCGATATCCGACCTCTTCCGCTCCGTTCCGCCTTCACCACAGCAACGCGTCCGTTCTGCAATTCGACCGGGGTTGTTTTAGATCGAGACTATTCAAGCTCCACACACGCTAGATTCCTTTGGAATGAGTTCTCATCAACTCAGCCCCAAACCTGAAGTTACGCGCTTGCGGCCACGACGTGCGTGCGACGAATGTCGGAAGCGGAAGCGAAAATGTGATGGCGAAGTACCTTGCTCAACCTGCGTCCGATATGAATACACCTGTCGATATGAATATGGGAAGTCGCCAAGGAATACTCGAGTTGTGGCTAGCGCCTCGCGGATGACGCCCGCGGAACGCCTACCACCAACGCCCGAACACCTTCCTTCTGATGCCCCAGTCCCAACGAGAGGCATCGAACAACAGGCGAGCTTTCTGGAGCGCGAGAAAGGAAGATTTATAAGCCATGCCTCATCTGTTTCCCAGGCACGGTCTTTAGGACTGGGACTCGAACTGCCTGACCCTCCACGCCTTCATTCATTTGGGTATCATACCGGGATTCGAAAAGAATGTGAGAGCTCCTTGTCGATTCGACTTCCACAACTTCTTTCCTGGGATCAAGCAAGCAGCTGTATTGATGTATTCACATCTGTAATTCACCCAGTCTTTGGTTTTATGAAAATGGAGTCCATATTCCAAAGGGCTCAGGGACACTGGCAAGGTCAACTCGAGGGATATCCTTTCGAGGCTGTGATCACCGGTGTCATTGCATTAGGATCCCTATTCTCCAATTATCTCGGCCAGGAAAAGGAGTTAGAGATTGTACTTCATGCAAAAAATGTGCTTGATGATCCTGTCATCAGCCGTCGGCCTTCGCAGGACCTAGTCGTGGCCTGGATTTTAAGGACCATTTACTCTCGCGCAGCAGGTCGACCCAATGTAGCGTGGCTGCAAAGTGCCACCACTTTACATTTGATCGAGATCACTGGGATACATTATGATGGAGCACCACTAGCCTCTTCAGCAGAGAGTACGAATACATCAACATCTGACGGCCCTGATATACGTGCACGCATCACGTCCGTTGCACAGAGCCTTCACATTATGATTGCATATGATTATGGAAAGAGTGTAATACACCTTGATTCTACTCTATATCACCACATCCGACCACGACAGGGCGATTTCACTCTGCAATTAGCTGAACTTACCAACAAAATCTCGACTGCCACAACCCATTTGGACCCTATTTCCAACCAGACCAATCTTTTGCAGGCCATGGAGCAGTTGATGGCCACACCAGTAGATCATGACTTTCTGCTGCTTGCGAGGGCGGAGCTATGTTTCGCCATTCATCGTCGTCTTCATATTATGGGTTTTGGTCTTACTAGACAACAAACTAAGCTCATAGTTGAAGCAGGTGCCACAGCTCTGCCTGCAGCCCGGCGATTGTCAGCTCAACTCCACCCATGGTGGAATGTTACAAATGCACTCTTTCAGTTTGTATGCGTTTGTCTCTCAGTTGGGACAACAGAGACACTTACGCAAATCCAACCAACAATTGAAACTTTTGAGTTGGTCATTCAGCATTTCAACACCCATCTTACCCAGGAAGCCTTCAGCACACTGGTATTATTAACTGGTGCATGCCAGGGGGAGAAGCAGAAACAAGCTGACCTCCTTCGGTTCGCCAAGGGAGCGCGATCAGAAAATGATGCTTCATTTCGAGGACAAGGTGATTTGGCGATGTTTGATCCGCAAGTTGCTTCCCTTTTTGAACTTTACCCTGAGTCACCATTTATTGACCTGCAAACAATATTCAATATCTAAAATTATAATTACAAATAAATTTTATATTAACATCTCATAAGCCTTCTTCCATGTTCGAATTATCCGCTGTGTTTTGGGAGTGGGTCTTGTCACGCCGAGTCAAGCTTCGAATGACGAACATAATCGCAACGCCAACTCCCAGACCGGCGAGGCCAATGCCCATGTAGCTTGCACCCCGGTAGCCTCTTAATGTGTCTGTGCCGCCGCGGTTAACTTGGCTTTCGACAGTTCCAGCAAGCCCAAGTCCGATCGAGATGGAATAGTTGACAATGGTGTTGACGAGCGAGGCAGCAAGACCTTGATGCTCCCGTGGCATGTTATTGCTGAGGATAAGTGTTCCGGATGGAAAAGACATGTCCCTGATAGAATATTAGCTTATCGTCGACAAACATCCAATATGGCATCGGAGACTGTATACTTACATCCCCCATGGAGTCAAGATAGAAAGGACAAATGTCTGGGCCCAGTATGTTTGGTGAACAGGCAGCGTGGCCAAGAGGATTTGACCACCCGTAAATGCAAGCATGGCGATTAACATGATCACACTGGGACGCAAGTGGGCGAGAATAAACCCAGTGGTCACTGCAGCGATTGCGCCCGACACAGCCGACGGTGCCCACTTCGCAAGCACAAGAAGCGGTGCTTCTCCCTTGATCACTTCCATGAATTGGAAGTAATAAAAGACCACAATTCCAAAGCTGGACCAGCCAGCAGCTATACAGCCTAGTACCCACGCAACATCCTCGGAGAAAATCTCCCGAGGCAGTAAGGGGCAGATTGCGTGTAACTCGATCCACAAGAATAGAGCTAGACATAGGAATCCGACGATCAAAAGAACATAAACATAGACAGTCGACCAGCCGGCACTTGGCCCTTGGTTCCAGGCGAAATTAATGAGAATAAGGGCAGCAATGCCGAGTAAACCCCCTAGTAGATCACATTTGACCCACCATGGCGTTTGTTCCAAAATTTTCGGAGACGGTGATTTGGGAATGATCAGAAATCCAATGACCGAAAAGGCAATGCAAACAATTCCCATGATCCAGTAGCCCCACGGCCACCAGGCGCGCTCGGCCAGGAGAGCTGAGAACACACCCCCAACAGCAAATCCTCCTGGAGCGGTCGCTCCAAAGATACTAAAAACCATATCCTTTCGAGGGCCAGGGGGGTAAGTGCGTCCCAGTATAGCCAGGGCATTTGGTAGCAAGAAAGCCGGCCCAATACCTTGAAACGCACGACAAATATCAAAGAATATTTGGTTCGACCATACGGAAAACCCCCCGAGAAGGGACCATAGCCCAAACCAAGCGAAGCCACCGATGAACATAAGCCGATGCCCATAGAGGTCCCCTAGTCTTCCTGCAATGAGAATGAAGGTACCGACCGTTAAACTGTACGCGGCTGCGTACCAACTTAATTGCCCGGGATTGGTGATGTGGAAACTATCGCCAATGATGTGAATGGGTACAATCGCAATGGCAAGACCTGCCTGTGTCATAAATTGAGCAGCGCAAACCACGCCAATGAATATGGACTCTCTCAGCAAGCTCTTTGGCTTTTCTATTGCCGACTGGTTGGTGATCGCTCGAGCGAGATCTCCCTGGTGGGAGTTCGAATGTTCGACATCAGGATGATGGCCATTGGGCTCATTTGGGGACTTTTCGTGAAATTCTGCTTCTGCTCGCTCATCGGACATTTTCGCAAGCAAGGTACAGCCGAGGACGGGCGATTATGCAATGGGCCGTTCAAGGTTTGGCTATGTAAAGGCGAGTCAAATGCGAGGACTAGAAGACTGGACGGATATAGATTAATTTTAGAGGATAAACTTTACGTATATAAATGGCAGAAGACAATCATTTTTGTAATTCAACGTCCAATTTCAGGATAAGTCGGCACATGTCAGCTTACGGGCGTGAACGGGGTGGGGTCGGATCGGAATGGGAACGGAGTTTGAGCGGCTCACTAGAAACACCACTTCCCCCAATCTCGAGATATAACGAACTCCCATCAGTTATTTTCTATTCCAAACACATTTTCTTCGTCCTACTTTGATATCGAGCATATTATCACTGTATTCATTTTATACAAAATGATGAAGGCTTTACAACTGTCGAAAGAGCTCGAGGCATCTCTGCCGACTCTTTCACTTATCAATCTTCCAATTCCGACTGCCACCCCCGGCCTTGCTCTCATCAAAATCCAATATTCCTGCATCAATCCATCGGATAGATTCAACAGTGTGGGCGGATTCCCAAAGACAATCTTCCCCCGGATTCCTGGTCGCGACTACTCCGGCACAGTGATCGATCTAAAGCACGAGTCGGATGCCATGCGCTCCAAGTGGATCGGAAAAACTGTCTATGGAACTGGCGGTGCCGAACTTGGCTTTAAGATGGACGGCCCACATGCACAATACTGCCTTATTCCAGAGAACATGCTCATCGAGAAGCCCGACACAATTTCCCTCGTTCAAGCTGCTACAGTTGGGGTTCCTTTCACCACAGCTTTGCGATGTCTCACGCGGGCAAGAACAACCCCAGATGACGTTGTTCTTGTTCTGGGCGCTGGCGGGGCCGTAGGATCTTCTGCTGTTCAAGTCGCTCGGGCAATCGGGTGCAAGCGCATATTGACTGCAACCCGAAACAAGCGCGACAATCCAGATATCCTATTGGACGGGGACATTGCTGCAGAGCTTGAGAGAAAAATTCCTTCTCTCACCGACAATAAGGGTGTTAATGTGGTGATTGACACTATTGGAAACCTCGATGTCATGAATGCTGCAATCCAGGCTCTAGCTGTCAAAGGTCGGTATGCATGGATTGCTGCGCCGAAAGGAGGAGGTTCCACTAATATCAGTTTGGACGTTTTCGCGGCCTATCGAAAAGAGATTGAGCTCGTGGGCTGTAATTCTGGCCTTGCGACGACTGAAGATACTGCGGAGGAGATGCAAATCTTGACCCGTTTCTTTGAACAGAATTTGATTCAAGCGCGACCTGAATCTTCAATGAATGTGGTCAATTTGGATGATGCGGTTGAGAAAGGGTATAAGTCTGCTCCGAGTGCGAAGCCAACTGTATTGAAGATGGACTAGAGATGTTTGAATATTTCGACTTCACTTTCCTGTTTGATCTATATCGATACCTTGTCATAGAAGCGAATACTTATAGTGAAATGCAATTTAACGATTTCTTGACCTTATTTTCACATATTGTTGCACATATAACCAAATGTTATGGCGGGTTATCAATTCCATCGTTCTGTTGAGGGTTTCTACTTCTCAGGAAGAACCACCGCGTTAGGGCCAACCCGATATACATCAGCTCTATGGGATTCTAACACCGGGCCCACAATGCAGATTGAGATAATATTTTAGTCCTTCATAAACAGTCAGCATTTTCAATTTCCAAATCTGAGTGCACATTTGTCTAGATGCGTCCAAATCTTCAATCGTATGGTCTTTATGCCAGGCCTTCCGTGGCCAAGACTGGGTGATTCTAATGTTAATAAAGCTTGTTAGTTCCGGAACGGAGCGGATCGGCGGATGGGAATTTATGTGTACATGCGTTGATTACTAAGTTGCCTAGATGCTCGAGTTCGGGGTATATAAAGTGAATTGGTGTTGGCCAATTCAAGGGCCTATGACCTCATGTCTAGACTTTTTCGTCTACAGAAAGCTGCCAAAATGCCAAACCCAATCAGAGACATTCAAACCATTGACAACACGCACCCGTACATCATCTACCAGAATGTCTCAGTTCCATTACGCATCGGAGGCGTTATTCGGTGTAATCTGTACCTTCCAAGGGGCGTCACCGAGGGTGGACGATACCCCGTTGTCGCAACCTACGGCCCCTATGGGAAAGATGTACCTTACAAGGAGTATGCAACCTTTTAGAATATTCCTATCTGTCTGTTCAGACCTCAAATCTAATTACCAGTATTAGCTTCAAGATCAGCAGCTTCCAGGACTTGAATCCAGAGCACCAGACCGAGCATTCCTCGTGGGAGACCCCGACTCCCTCGTACTGGACGCGCCACGGATATGCAGTGCTCCGGGCGGATGAGCTAGGCACGGGTCAATCTCCAGGTCCCTTGAATCAACTCTCGTCTACCACCTTTGATGCGTATCAAGAGTTGATCGAGTGGGCTGCTCAGCAGAAATGGTCAACCGGAAAGGTTGGCCTGCTGGGTGTGAGCTACTATGCTTTGACGCAGTGGCAGGTCGCCGCTCGCCAACCTAAAGGTTTGGCTTGCATGATTCCATGGGAGGGATTGTCCGATTATTACCGTGACGGAGAACGCCATGGTGGCATTCTATCTTCGAACTTCCTCAGGATTTGGTATAACCGCCAAGTAAAAACCAACCAGTACGGCCGCCCAGGTCGTGAAGCTGAGAAGCGTGGCCCCGATACTGTCGATGGTGATCTCACCCAGGCTGAATTGCTGGCCAATGAATGGAACGCACCTGATGATTCCGAGCAGCCAAGGTTCCGAGATGATGAGCGCTGGGCATCGATCAATTACAACTTGGAGGACGTCAAAGTCCCCTTCCTTAGTGTTGCGAATCTCGGCGGTATCGGTCTCCATCTACGTGGCAACGTAGAAGGATTCACTCACGCCGGGTCCAAGTTGAAGTACTTGCGATTCATTGTCGGTCGACATGATCTTCCGTTCTATTATACCGAGTCAGTCGAGCTCCAGCGGAGCTTCTTAGATGCCTTCCTCAAGAGCGACGATCGTGTGGGCTGGTCGACTGGCAAACTTCCCGCAGTGGATCTTGTCCTCCGCAAGGGTGATGTGGGTGTCAACAACGCCGAGGCGGAGCTTACCTTCCCACGACGATCTGAGAATGAATGGCCTATCGCTCGGACCAAATACACGCCTATTTTCCTCACGCCTGATAACCAGATGACTTTTGAGAAGCCATCTGCTGAGCTGTCGAAACTAAGCTACCGTGCGCTAGGAACACTCAAATCTCCCGAGCTCCTGACATTCACTACTCCACCTTTTACCACGGAAACGGAGATTACGGGCCATATTGTTACTCACTTGAACGTTTCCGTGACGCGAGATGCTGGTTGCCCACCCCCCTCGGAGATTGATTTGTTCCTCACCCTCCGTCATATCTCTGCCACCGGCAAGGAAATCTTTTACACTGGCTCTTCTGGAGAAGGTGTGCCAGTGACCAGAGGTTGGCTTCGAGTTAGCATGCGCGCCACGAAGCCGGATCACCCACGTCACAGGGCTTGGCTGCCTTACCGGGGCTACTACTCCACTGATGTTCTCCCTGTGATCCCAGGTGACATTTACTCTGTCGATGTTGAGATTTGGCCGACCAATGTGGTTGTCGAAAAGGGTGGTCAACTTGTCTTGGAAGTGAGCTCCGGAGATACAAGGAATAGTAGTATCTTCCAGCACACCCATCCTCTTGACAGGTAAGCTTTTCTTCAATTGTGCCGTATCTGGCAATGCTAATGAATGTTCGCGCAGGCCTGCTTCGAAGTTGCAGGGCACCAACCATGTTCATTTCGGTCCTAACTATGTCAACTACATGTCTTTGCCTATAATTCCCAGCCGGGATTAAGCGATATCTGCTTGTGAGTTGTGGCTACATAGGTTGCAGGAGTGTAAGGAGCATGAATGGGATTTTGTTAGATTAGCTACGTTTCATACAATTTTCTTCTATATTCCTTGACTCTATCTCTAAAACCCACCTTTGTAAATGCATGACAATTCAGAAACCCAATGATCAAATTATTTCTATTTGTGAAGTTCCTGTTCATTGAATCCTAGAGGCGGTGCTAAACAATTATATTGGTACAGTGGGAGTGACTACAACACTATGTTTAAAATCCTACGCCAGTGGCGGTAGCTTGCTCGCCCGTGCCGGATTTGGACATTCAAGTGGGGCTGATCTACTCTCAAGACTTCACGACCGCGAAGTGGAGCCTTGTCCAGCTCCGCTCCACTCCGCTCCGTTCCGTTCTGAGCCAGGGCTTCCGGTCCGTAAAAGCAGGTATTAATCCATAGCTACTAATATTGAGACCCCCTGCAATTGTTTCTACCGCAATAATCTTCCTGTATTGACAGACATCACCCAGCCATTTCAGCTTTTTTGGTTATATCTGTGCTGGCTTTCAGTCCACCTACACATCAAACATACAACATGGTCTCATATACTTCCAATACAGCCCTCTACGTCAATCGTGATCTTGTTTTCGAAACTTGTCATGGAATGGAAATCTCAAAGCCAGCAGATGGAGAGCTTTTGATCTAAAATTCATTCTCTGGAGCCAACCCGGCTGATATGAAGCACGTAACTTATCTTGGCATTTATCCCACTGTACTTGGATATGATTTTTGCGGTGTTGTTCTACAGACCCCGCTAGGCTCGAGATTCAAAGTTGGCGAACAGGTGGCTGGTTTCACGCCAACCGGTCTCAATAGGCTCGAGAGATACGGAGCTCATCAAAGCTTCTTGGCTTGCCCAGAAGACATGGCATTCTCGGTTCCGTCCAATCTCCCTGCTCATCATGCGGCTACTCTCACCGTCGTCTTGATGACTGCCGCCGATGCCATTTTCAATATTCTCAAATTCCCTCTACCACAAGAGAACCCCGGAACAAAAACCAAAGGTCCTCTATTCATCTGGGGTGCATCAAGTAGCGTTGGCCTGTGTGCCGTTCAACTAGCGCGAGCCAGTGGTGCTTACCCCATCTTCGTCACGGCCTCAGCAGCAAGGCATTCTATGCTATAGGAGATGGGTGCTACCAGATGCTTTGATTATAAATCACCTACTCTAGCCTCAGAAATCACGGCAGCCCTCAGAGAAACCGGATACGAAGACATCACGCATGGCTTCGATACCATCGGCGATCTGAGCGGCGAAGGTTCAGCTAACACCATGGCTAAATATACTGCGGAAAATACCGAGCTTGTTTTGGTTGTGATGCAGCAAAACCAGCGCTTCAAAATGCCCCTGGCGGTGATGAATGCCGACGTCACGCTCCACCCGAGGGGTCTCCCCGAACCAATTACCATTCCAGCTCGTCTGGATGATCATCAGAATGCGTGGCAGGTGTTACAATGGGCGGTTCAAAATTGCGGTGCTAAATTCCGTATGCCGGCAGTTGAAGTTTTCGTGGGAACAGCAGAGGAGTCACTTGAAGAGCTGACGAAGTTGGATGATCACAAAAGAGGGTTTGGAAAGCTAGTTCTGCAACATCCCCTTGCATAGTTGGTATCCAGCGCTTGTATGCAATATTGAGGCGACGGTTAGCACAGTGCATATTACTACTGATATTTTATTTGGGGGCTTTTTTTCAGTTCCCAAATCTGGAAGCGACGCTCAGGGAACTTAAACGGCCGGTGATCACTATTATGATTACAGACGCAGAGGTAAGAGATTTTTTGAATATTACAGAGGTCCCAAGAGGGTTATTGATCTATATGCTGACCAAAGTTGAATACAAGTACTTTAGTGGACCTTTATTTCTAGATAGGGCAGCCCCTGGTCCACAGTTCATTGAGAGCGCCTGAGCAACCCAGCTCTCCACGCAAAAAAAAAGAAAACAGCACCTAAAGGCGACTTCTTGCGCTCTAAAAGGAATGAAAGAACTTTACCCGGGTGGAATACTTGCTCCGGTACCTTGCTAGCAAAATCACTAGCGAGCGCCTTGATTGTCTCATTATCGTAATCCTCGCTACATTGCTTTTGATTTGGCAGCTGTCTGAATACTATGTAGAAAGACTGGGTTGGAATGCTCTCATCGGCGAGTTTGAAATGGACTTTCGTGTCTGAACGTCCGGGCCGAATAAGTGCTTCATCTAGGTGTTCGATGGGTACCGAATAGTTACTTTTCAAATAGCGGCTAGGTCGCAGATAACTTCCTTCGAGATTTTGGCCCACAAATATCTCATTCATGTTTTCTATGTAGCTGTAGAGTACAAAAAGTGTCTCTTCGACTGAAATGTTCCACTAGACGGTCTTGCTGAGAATGGCCTGGACTTTGTGGAAATCAGGCCACTCCGATAGCTTTTCAATCATTTTTCCATCCTCCGTCATGGTGAGCACGAAGACATAATCAGTACCATATGGACCAGCCTCCAATTCGCCCTTGCTACTGCAAAGCATCGTCACCGTCCTTTTCTCTATATCCGTGTACATCTCGTTGATGGTAATTTTGAACGATTTCAAAAGCCCAAAGAAGGCCGCCGCCCGTTCGTATGTTCGAAACCTAAAGTTGCGTTAGCGCAAGATCTCTTTTGGGGCGTTCATGACTTACTGTTCCTTGGTCATTGGAAAGACCCCCTCGGTATCTGGATGAAGACTGTAGTGAATGTCATCAGTCCACCGGGACACAACAGTATCTAGCGAGCGACTTTCTAGATCTAAGATCCAACCAGCGGCGGTTTCTTCGAGGGTTGCTTTGAACGACATTGTTAACAATAAGGATAACTAGCAAGTTGCGATGAAGTTGAATGGCTGTTTCTCGGGTCTATGACTCTGCTTCTTATATTTCGCTTCTCATAACGACACGTGCATACTTGCGTCTTGGTACAGTGTGATTTTGACCGAGTCTCAAACACTCCTAGCCAGATAAGGGTCCATCAAAGACTATTATTTGGTACTTAACCCCGATGTTTTGCTGGAGAGGTGATAGAGAAACAGATGTCTTCTTCCTGATTGGTCAACTCAAATTTTACAGTCTTGGAAGTCTTTCGGAACCTTTTTTGGAAGTCTACCCGAGCTGGAACTCGGGATTGGCCACTCCCGGGGTTCCCGAGGTTCCCGAGTACGATAGGCCAATCGAGGCTTGGCGCTGATGTAATATATTCTGCATTTAGCTAGGAATTAGTACTACCCAATAGAAACCATACGATCCTTACAGAATCTCATGAGCCGAGCCCTAAAGTCACATGATATTCTTAATCTTAGTCATTCGGTGATGTGAGCTATGAGTTCATCGATGAATCGAGCTGTAGTCACAATTTATATTTCACCACTCCCCCTCCCATCGATTTCAATATATTAGAGAACCACGGATTTACCATCATGGCTGAAGATATCTTGATAGAAGAAGGTCTCCCTGCTACTACACCAAGATACCAATTTCAAGGTATAAAGCAATGTCTTAGATGCTTTGAACTTGAGTTGGAGCGGTACAATAGGGACGGCCAGCCCAGTGACCACTCATATATTATATTTGATCACGTGGACGAGCGTTCCTACCAAAAGTATTTCGAGGATGACTCTGGAGAAAGTCTTATTGTGCATTCATTAGTGACCTACAACTTCATTTCTCATGTAATTGTCCTTAAAATGCCCACGACAGCACATGAGGCAGCACATCGTGCTTTCAGTGAGATTTTTTCGGCCTGGCATCGTAGCCAGGAAGGTCGTCTTTTCCCTATGGGAGGGGCAACTATTGAGGGATTCACAAGGAAAAAATGTCCCGATTCTAGCTGGACGACCTCAATCCATACATCCGAAAGAGAAAATAAATGGCCAACAATCCTTATTGAGTCGGGTTGGTCTGATTCCAGGGCAAAATTGAGTCGAGATGTTTTATTCTGGCTCACTGAGTCGGACCAACAGGTCAGGGTCGCGCTTACGATGAAGGTTACCCACAAGGGGAAAATTACAATTGACCGATGGACACTCGATGAAACAGCTGGCAGGACTTCCGTTCACCCTACCCAAACAATGTCTATCACCCGAAGCCGAACCCCTAATTCAAATAACCACCGCATCTCCGGCTCCATGCACATCAAGTTCGAAGACTGCTTTCTGCGCGACAAGAGAAACAGCGAGTCGGATTTTGTTCTATCAAACCAAGATCTGACTGAAATTGCAGAAGCTGTCTGGGAATGGCTTGCTGAGTAAGTCTGACAGCAATCGCGCTAAATTGGCGCGACTATTCTTGTATGGTGTTAAATGTTAGTAAGTTGAGTTCTTTTCCTCTTCGGGCCATGTGGAGACCTCGGGGAGATTCTTTGTTCGCACGTCACCTCTTGACTCTTGACATTTTCTCTCTCTCCGGCTTTTCAACTGGCCTTTTTGAACTCAACTATACTCTACACTTTTAGCTTCGAGCTTCGAGCTTACAATCATGTTCAAAAAGAAGCCTACGGTAAATGACCTCTCCCCCGCACTACCCCTCCAAGCTTTGCTCGGTTTGCAATTCTCCCACTGCAAAGGAATCTATGCTAATATAGAATAGATCAAAAACCTTTCTCCACTACGATCTTCCGATCGGAGGAAGATTGCTGACCAGATTATCAAAGATTACCAAATCCCCGTCACTTCAAACCCCACCAAAACGGACTCGTCCGCCCCCGCCTTGAGTCTTACATCGATCCGGAATGCCCTCCTGCCCGATAACACTCAGACTGCCCGATTCACAACCACCGCCGGTCCGGACCTTCGCGAACTTCAAGGGATTGTATATGTTGGGACACATCCCGACGGCGATGAGCGGGTACTATGGTTCAAGCTGGAACATGGCCCGGGGGCCGACAAACGACTATACCCAACTGTCTACACATTATGGTACAATCCGAACTTAGTCCCTTTACTCTATACTCCAGAGTTTGTGATGGGAAAGCTCCATGGTGGAGCTGACTTAATGACACCGGGCCTCGCGAATGAACCTCCATTCCCCGAAAGGGCTGTCAAGGGCGCCGTTGTCGCGGTCGCGAGTTTGGACAGACATACAGTGCCACTTTTTGTAGGTATTTGTGAGATCGATGTTTCGGCATTGGGAGAGGTGCAGGGCACAAAGGGCCATGCGGTCCGTGGATTGCATTGGGAGGGTGATGAACTTTGGGCGTGGAGCTCTGCATCACTGCCGGGTCGTCCAGCTCCAGAGTATCTGGAAGGCTGGGACGAGGAGAAAACCGAGGGTGTTGAGAATCAAATGGAGGAGTTGAGAATCGAGGAAGATGGGGCTACAACCGCCTCGGGGGACATTGAAATACCAAGCAATGACCCAACAGCGTCAGAAGAACCCGTGACCGAGGAGGAGGCACCCACAACAGAGGGTAAGTCATCCACATCTCCCTCCAGGGCTCCAGCTAGGGCTCTTTATCGGCTAGCAGTTGCAGCCAGCAGTTAGATTCCGAAATAAAATTAACCAAGTACTGACAAATTATAGAAATCGATGAGGCGTTTGTCAATGCTTTTGTCTACGCCCTCTACAAGCTCAAGCAGGATAACCCATCAGCAACCGACCATGGGCTTCCACTGCCAATCACAGCTTCGGCATTGATAGCCAACTTCACCACTCCTTATCTTCCTGTGTACACCCCCCAACAGGCCCAGCATTACAACATCAAAAAGACCAGTTGGAAGAACGTCAAAAAGTTCATGAAACACCTGGACAAATCGAAGCTTGTCAAAACCAAGGAACGTAACGGCCAAGAGACCGTCATTTTGGATGTCGACTTTGGGGACCATCGGGTAGAGCGATTTGTACCATACAGACTGCCTTCACCCCGGGCCTTGGAGAACAGTAAGGCGGCCGCACCAGACGGCAAAAAGTCGGCTGCGACAGATGGCTCCGACCCTTCAGTGGGCCAGACGATTACTGTGCAAAGTCTATATCGGCCATCAGGAAAGCTGGTGCCAACCATTTTCCCTGCCCTCCCCGCCAGTGACACAAATAACTTCTACAAATACTCCGAAGTGTCCAGTCACTTGGATGAATATCTTGAATCCCAAAATCCGCCGATCATCTCAAAAGAAAACCGGCGCATCATAACTCTCAACCCATTCCTCGCAAACACCATCTTCAACTCATCATCAACTGAAGATAAAGGGACACTTGCACGTGGGAAGGCCACTCGTGATGGACTTCTGAAGCGACTCATGGATGATAAAACACTGCTCTCGCCGTACCATGTCATTTTGAAGACTGGTCAAACTATTGCAGACGTCAAGCCTAAAGCAGGCACTGCACCGAAGGTCCATGTCACCCTCGAGAAGCGGACAGGTTCCAAAACTGTTACCAAAGTCATGACTCTGGAGGTCTTCGGCATTATCCCCAGTCTATTGGCACAGGAGCTGCAGAAGAAGTGTGCCGGTAGCACTAGTGTCACACAGGCTACTGGTGCCCCTAAGGGGATCATGGAAGTTCTGGTTCAAGGTGACCAACGAAAGGCCATTGAGACAGCCCTTGTTCGCCGTGGGTTGAAGCCACAGATGATCGAAGTTGTGGATAAGACCAAGAAGAAGAAATGATCATCACGCAAAAGATCATGTGTTCATATCACTGCTAGATAGAGGGCACTTTTCCTGTACAAACTATAGATCCATCACTTGCAGCATACTGCTAGAAATGAAAAGGATACTCATGATGAGATGGATTAAACTACCTTCGGATCATAGTCCCCAGCTCATCACCATAAAACTATCCGAATCGCAGGAATTCCATTCTTCTCTCCCAACATTAGATTAACCTTCACTGTCGCTTCAATTCATCTTCATGGCTCTCCCCCGTTCCATTCGACAGTTTCAATTCTCTCTCGCCACCTTGGCTTCCATTGCCGTTCCCATTCCTACCATCCCCCCGTGTCTGGGTATCATTCATATCACCAGTATCAACAGTCTCCCAGATATCATCTTGAAACAAGTACTGCATCAAAGCCTCATCCGTGCGACGGGTCCCATCCGCCACGAGCGTATCTATTCTGTGGACTAAATCATACGTAACGAATATCGCTCCGCCTCTCGACTCTGCCGCGAGTGCTTCTAGTCTCTGGCGTTCTGCGTCTGTAAGACGACTCATATGGCCCGGGTTATCGGTATAGATTTCTGTGCGTCGTGCAGTATCTTCCCGACGTATATTATCTGGTCGGTGCTGTGCGGACTCGTGTATGCTGAAGATGGTGGGTTCGGTGCTTGGTCCTGGGTTGGGGGTACTGCTACTTTCAGCTTCATTGGTATCCGCCGAGTTTGGCATTGTAGACTTTTCTTGGTGTCGATGGCTATTTCTTGGGTAGGAATATCGAATGGCTTGGAAATAATGGGCTTCTTTTGCTACCTATGTATTGCAGATGAAATTGATCCCATGCCAGAGTAGACGGAGATCAAAGAATGACCCGAGAGTTGAATTTATACGGCACATGAGGTGGCTGCTGTCCACGTGCCCCCCATGCTGTCTTGTACTCCAGGACTTTGTTGGTGTATAACATGTTTCATTTGCAGAGTCTGTACTTTCTGAAACTACTATCCTAGGGATTTTACGGCTATTATTATCTGCTAAACTAGGGAGTTTTATGTTGAAAGATCTAGCATAGATTCATGCCCCATCTATGTCGAGGCTTCGGGGGCTAAAAAAAAGCTGTGAGGCTTTCTGTTCAAAAGAATATGTGGTGTTTGTATAACCTTACGCTACGTTTTCGTCTACGAGATCATAAAATTGAGCAGTCCAGCGATTCCATTCGTCAAGGTAAAGTAAAAGAAAAGACCAAAGAAGGCCTATCGTCTCCCATGTGCAAAATGCAGGGAGGAAAGAGAATATAAAGGAAATACGTAACACGGTGTTGTTACAATCAGTCCAAATCGAACAATCGACAAAGAGAGAGGATACCCGATCCAAGTTTCACAGTCATTCAATAACAAGATTCACACCGAGAAGATATATAGAAGTAGAGATAAAGTTATCCACAACTATAAATCTAGCATCCAGGGCAAACATCTCAGTAAGCCAAGGCGCGGGCGTGCACCTTCTTGTCAGAGACAAGCCACTTCAGGGTGGAGCGGATAGTCTCGAGGAGCTTCTCGGCGCTCAGGGAGCTGAGGTAGGTGGAGTAGTCGCTGGAGCTGGAGGAAGAAGATCCAGAGCTGGAGCTGGAGCTAGCAGCAGCGGTGGGTGCAGCGGTAGCAGTGGCAGTGGCAGTGACAGTGGACTCGGTGTCATCATTACCGGAGGCGGGGGTGGAGCTCTGGGCAGACTGGCCGCTGGCGGTGGAGGTGATGGTGACGTCGGCGGGGGAGCTGGCAGTCTGTGTATCAGGCTCGTCAGTAACCTGAGGAGCAGAAGAAGCAGAAGCAGTGGCAGTGGCAGTCTCAGTGATGGTGGAAGCGGCCTCGGTGTACTCCTCAGTAGCGGTGGAGGTTGAGACAGCAGATGTGGGAGCAGATGAAGGAGTAGGGGTGCCAGTGGGGCTGTAGCTGGGACGGGCAGTGCGAGTGCGGGTGAGGTGGCGCGAGGAGCTCTGGATAGGAGAGGCACTCACGGTTGAGGCAGCAGTAGTAGCAGTAGTGGCAGCGGCGGTAGTGGCAGCAGCAGTGGTGGCAGCGGCGGTGGTCGAGGAAGAGCCAGATGTGGCACCAGTGTACAGAGCAGGACCGGGGATCTCGTAGGAGGCCAGCGAGGTGTAGATGCTGATCTCAATACCGGGGTCGGTGGCCTTGTAGAGCGCTGTGCCGAGGACGCCATCGGGAGCGTCGCTGCCGCCACCGGTGACCTTCAGGTTGAGACACTGGGGGTAGTTCTGGGCACCGTTGAGCTCGCCGGCAGAGTGGAGGGCAATGATCTCGTGACGGAGAACGTAGTTGCCAGCGGCGATAGTGCTGGGGATAGTGACAGTGGCGCTGTTGTTGTTGGAAATGAGCTCGTCGGTTGCCCATTTTCCGGGGACGTTGCTGTCGTCGATCAGACCGGCCTCGGCGATCTTGAAGAACTTGAGGGTGGTCTTGTCGACCGTGGAGCAGTCGCCATTGCAGTTGGCCATGTAGGTGATGACCGGGCCGTGGTGGCTCTCGGGCCACTCGGTCCACTGCAGCTCGACCTTGCCGCCGGCCTTGACCTCGGCGGAGAGGGCACCAGGAGTGGCCTCCTTGTGGCAAATGATGTCGGAGCTAGCGTAGCTGCTGCCGTCGATGAAGCCGAGATCGGTAGCCTTCTCAGACCATCCAATGTTGGCGGGCACCTCCGACATGTAGTTGTAGGTGTTCACGATGAAGCCGCCGTGGTAAGTGCCATCAACAACAGCACCCGACACGTAACCGTGACCAGCGACCATGGCGGCCGAGCTCAGCAGGAGACCAGCAATCTTTGAAATAGACATCTTGAAAAAGTTGGATAAAAACGCACAGCGTTTGGATGGAAAAGGATCGAAGTATCAAAAGATGATCGAGAAAAAGAATGAAAAGGGGACTTCAGTCAATGAAGTCAACCCAAAAAGAGAATGAATGGTACTAGACCTTGAAAATGAATGGAATGCAAAGGATAGATGAGAAATATCAAGTGGCCTGGATGCCAGGGCCTTATATATGTATGTTCCTCACAGCCATTATTCCCATTTCGACGGAAACGGCACACTCCGTTGCCAAGAAATACATATCACAGAGGGGATCAACAAGCTCGACGGAGGATTCTAGCATAGGGCATGGATTCCACTATGTGGGTGCGCCCATAGGTGGAGAATTGTGAGCGACCGAAACATCTGCATCTAGGAGGTGACAGATAAATGAAAAATGTGGTTTCTAAAGCGCCGGATGTTCCCAAGGCTGCACTAGCGCACAACCGTAATTTAGCTATGCTCTATCAGGGTCATCGAGGGCGGAGGGCGGAAGACTATAACTCGTATTTCTAGTGGAGCGTTGATCGTGGGCGGTTGTCTGTGACAGTCCGAGTTTCATCGAACCCCTTAAAGTGACGATACCTCCGCTCTTCCAAGCTAAGTGCTCATGTTTCCTGTTTCGGGGAAACCTCGTTGAATTCTGAGGCTTCAGGGGAACTTCGGAGAATCTAGTATTCTACAATACCTTTTGACAGGTCGATCGTCGACAGAGTACAACATAGAGTACGGAGTAGTCAGCAGTCTCCTACCCGTGGACGTTGAAAATGGAAATAGTGTCTATGTATATGACCAACTTCCTTTTCAATTCATCCGAGTTCATTTGAACAATCTTGCAGACTTCTAGCCATGGCCATTTGCCCCCTTCAAACGCTAGGGGTTGTTACTCCATCTCTGCGCTTAGAGAACTTGTTTTGAAACACTCCACCCTGCAGGTCCGTCTCCTGCATGATAGGGTCCAGAAGTCCACGAAAATCTCGAACGGTCCATACCTCAGCGCTTCTGTCAGATTTAAATTGCAGTATAAATTGCAGTATAAATTGCACAGGCGCTAAAACTACAAGGAACTCGTGGCATTGTTCAAACCACATGCAAATCACTTTTTTCTACTTCGTACTCCGTACTCCGTACAGTTGACGCTTCTCACCGCACCATCCTTTATCAATTAGATTGAGGGAACTTTTAACCAATTCGCTTCATTGACCTCGGGAAACATTTCTCAAAGTAACTGAACCGCCGTGAGCCTGATAATGAGCGGGAGGCTTCGATACGAGTCTAGATCAAATCTAGCCATTGCCCGCGAGGGACTAGATATCCAGGCCAGCTCGACTCCAGGGCGGATATCTTTGGCAGATGAAATCCTTATGGACAATCAAACAGTTGTTGTAAACTTGAAGCAGACAAAGCAGACAGATTATCCACTCTCTATGGAGGCTCTAACAATCGTGCCAAGCGCACCAACAGCCAGTGCTAGTGGGGTGGGGTACACCGGAAAGAATAGGTATCTTTTGTATGGAAACTACGTACAAAAGGTACATAAACGTAATATCCTCATCGCATCGATTTTTCGCAACTTTCAAACTATCTAAAAGAAAGATAAATAAACGAGATTATAATATGATTCTAGTCCAATTGGTCTACTACTAGGATTGATTCTAAATATATTATATAGAAGTGTAAAGACTACCTTGAAAAACATCGCATCTTACTGGTTATATATATTCAGTGTAACCTTGGAAAGTTGGATCATTCTCTTGCTGCAATCAGACTCGATAATTCTCATCAAATTGGATAATAAGTAATCAAGACTTAACCCACACTGTATATATCTTCGTATATCTTCTCTAACTAGTTTGAGGGTTAAGAAAACCGAGTTTATGATTACACATGTTATGGTTATGTACCTTTTGTATGTAGTTGCTATAGAAAAGATACCTAATATTTACAATTTGCCAACCAACACTAGGTATTAGTGAGCTTGCCACGATTATATGTTGTATGCCATGTTGAGAGGTGTCCGCAGCACAGCATTATCCAGGGTCTCTTGCCATGGCGAGTCCGACGATCACAGCCTTCAAGTGCATCATAACGCCATTTGCATTGGTGTGTTCTTAATATATCGCGGTATGCAACACACCTACAACTGATAGCTAGGCCTGCACGCAATCAAGAAGTGTTACTTCAACACAGCGAGGGTAGGACACAGCCGATAACCGGGTGCCACAATCTCCTCTACGAGACATGATGACCCGAAGTGTCTGTGTGCGCTTGGCACAGGCCTGCGTACGTTATCCTCCTCATGCACGAATGGAGTACTTCGTACTTTTTCGTCATTCCAGGGATGAAACGCCGGGGGTCAGTCCGAGGGGTGGTCCCTACATATGTACTATGTAGGAAGAAATCCGGTATCACAAAGTGTAAGGAAGTTGGTCATACAAAGTCTTCCAATCCTTCCAAGGACAAATTTGTAGAAACTCGTAGAACCAGACCTCAAAACCGGTAGTCAGACCCCTCGTCCCGCTTGTCAGACGGGAGAAGTAGGATCAGCAAATCAAAGCGATGGAAGATACGGGGAGGGTGGGCGTATAGTGTGTACTGTAATAGTCACCGCTTTGTGAGGCCTGAGGTGTCTATTTTAAACACAAATTGTTGTAGGGCTATGATTTGGGATGTAAGCATATCTAAAAGCACCAAAAAAAGTACAATCAATTTCAAATCAAATCAAATCAAACCTCTCAAATAAAATCTTATACTTCAGTCTCTCAACATTATATAATTTTCAAGTAAAGTCGTTGATTACATTTGTTGAGGTTCTGCCGGCCTGGATCGGCACTCACAGTTTTCCCGGTCCCCTTTCCTCCAGGATAACCCGCAAGGCAGTGACTTTCCCCAACACCTTCAAATCTCACCTTTCTCAGGGCCATGGTATCGGAGACTGGTCCTGGTTTAAACCGTGACAAGACTTGATTGTCATACTTTTGGATCCCTACCTTATTGAAATTCCTTTTAGACACGCGACCGAGTCATATTCAATTGTTGTGAAGGTGGCCGTTAACGGTTGAAATCGACTACGACTTACAAGAATCAAGAGGGGGGGAAAAACGAAGCATGGTATCAGCGCAGGCACCCTTTTCGCCCTCCTTTTCCGCCCTGGATCCTATCATAATGGACGACGACATGGACTTCTTGGACCCCACAAAACTCGAAATGTCAACTGAAAATGCTGGGGGAGACTTTGACGACCTATTCGCTCGAGCCACAACCTCCCGTCCGAATGGGGTCTCGGGGCCTTCGAAGCCATACCAGGAGCAAAACCCCCTGAGGCAAGTGTCGACTCTTGCCGCGGACTCGCCAGCCGAATCGCCAGATGATTCGGGTCGCAGTTCTTCCTCCGAATCGCCACGGAACCACCTGCGACAAACATCGATCGCTTCGACAAACTCCGCAGCGCATAGTGAGAATCCATTAGCTTCTACTAGTTACCCGTCGGAGGAATGGATGCGCCCGGAATTATCGTCAGTCAAGGAGGAATCGCCGTTCAACATCGATCCTTCTTTTCCTATGGATGGTGGTTTCTCTATGGACCCTGATCTGGAGGTCAGCAACAAGGCGATGGACGCAGCCTTTGATTTTGAAAGTGCAGCGAGTAGCCCTAGTCCATTGAAGACGGACAATGGATCACTCCCAAGACCCCAAAAGCGCTCGAAATCCCAACTCTGGAGTCCTTCGAGCAATCACGCTGGGCTGGAATCAATCGATGCTGTGCCTTCGGTTAGTCATTCGAACAGCGTTCTTATTTTCGCGTTGCTAACAAATCACAGGTTCATGCTCCCGGATCTCCATTCTTCGCCTTTGGACTCAACGGCCAATCGCCATACTCGACTGCAATGCCTCAAGATATGGATAGAGCCGCTCCGCAATGGGGCGGACATTCGCCTTCGTCACTTCTGGAAGAAAGCTTTGGGGGCATCAACATGAATCGCCAATCACCTCTCCACGCCTCCCTATCACCCGCCATGAACTTCGGCTCGCCGGCATCGTACCAATTCCCTGTCAACTTCGCCTCCTCCCCGGCCCAACCTCAAATGAACGCGCACTCTCTACAACCTGTTCTCACAGTGCATCCAACTTCCCTCAAATCTCGCGTTGAGACTCAAATTCCGATCCGATTGACCCTCTCCCCGCTACCTACCGGCGTCAAGAAACTCCGTCTTCCCTCGCACACCATCTCCAAACTCAAATTTCTTGCTCCTCCTGCCACCGAACCTACTCGCGATACCCTTCAATTGTACACAAGTCTGGTATGCACCAGCGCCATGCAAGACAGAGAAAAGATCAAGCGGGCATTTGCACGGACAAGGGGTGATCACTATCAAGCAACTTCGGATGACGAACGTCCGTTGGACGGAGGTGATGTGAAAATCTGCAGCGGGTGTATACAGCGAGAACGGAAACGTGCGTCACGAAAGAAGCAGAGGAAGCCCGAGGAAGATGAATTGTTTCAAAAGGATGAAGAGAAGCGTGTTATCGTCTTCAACACCAGCGAGATCAAGGAATGGACCGAACCGGCAAAGAACTCCAGCGGTGGCTACGGCGATAGATTATCGGTCCCACCAGGATCAATGCAAGTGGAACTGCCGATGCGGATTGCATGCTATTGCCGACACCAAAATGAGAAGCTCGGTTTCCAGGTTATCTTCACTGTGAAAGATCACTTGGACAACGTAGTCGCGCAGGCAATCACAAATTCGATTATGATAACCGACGACCACAAGACGCAGGCTCCATCCGCGCCTGCACCGACTGGCCCGTCGCCATCCCTCGCAGATGGGACACAAGTACCGGGAGTTGGAGTGTTTCCCTCGGGCCAAAACTCGGAGAACGGGCAAAACTCTCTCGGTGCACCTCAATCGCCAACTGATCTGCAGGGTCTTCAACAAAGGTTCAATTCACAATATCAGCTTACGCCTAGTTCATTTGCGGCACCGGGTTCAACTAACGGAGGGCATGTGCCTCAAACGTCTAGGAGCCTGTCTCGAGGGGCTTCCCCATCTGATTTCCAAGGCCCACAGAGCAAACGACGCAAACACAGCAGCTCTGGAAGGCTTCCATCAGAACTGACGATGACACGACTCGAAGCACCTCAGTCATCGGCATCAGCCATGAACAATGCTGCACAACTTGCGGCTGCTCGTGGATTCGCTTCACCAAGTGAACGGCCATTCGTGAACCCGTCCGCCATGTCAGGTCAATATGGAAATGGCCCGCCCACTCCCAACCAGAACAATGATAACAATCCATTCTTCAACCCGACCCCCGCCCAGCGACAAAGTTTGGATACCCTGGCCGGGGGAGCAGTGGCGTCAACACCCAACTCCACCCATCCCAGTCGCCCGGGAACACCAGGCGGCTCGAATCGCAACGGCTTCCATGATTCAAATATTCCCATGGGACTTGGTGCGAATTCCTCCAGCCAGGTTTGGCCGCCTCTCAACAATACCCCCAATCGATTGCCATCAGTGATTCACAAGTTGGTGCCTGCCGAGGGTTCCATCACAGGAGGTACTGAGGTTACGTTGTTGGGCAGCGGATTTTATCCTGGCATGGAGGTTGTTTTCGGTGATACCTTGGCTACTACAACCACATTCTGGGGTGACAAGTGCCTCAACTGCCTGACCCCTCCCGCTCTTCAACCAGGATTGGTGTCTGTGGTGTTCAAACATGAGCACCCGACATTCGGCCAAGTCCAGCAGTCTCAACCCCTCATCCCCAAACAGCAACTGTTCTTCCGCTATGTGGATGATCGTGAGCTTCAAATGTATCGCTTGGCACTGAACATTCTTGGTCAGAAATTGGGCAGCCAAGCGGATGCATTCCACACAGCGCAACAGATTATGGGAAGCGATCCAAACGCGTTCTTCAACATGCAGGCAGACATGCAAGGTAACTCCTCTGGGGGTCAGCAACGCCAAGTACCTGGTCTTGAAAATCAAGGCAAACTCGGTGATCTCGACTCCAAGATGCTGACGTACTTGGAATTCATCGACTTGGATGACAGTCCCCGGCCACCGCGGTATAACTCTCGCAGCACGACCGGCCAGAGTCTTCTTCACTTTGCGGCGTCTCTGGGACTGACAAGATTTGTTGCCGGTCTTTTGGCTCGAGGTGCAAACCCCGATGTGCAAGACAACACAGGCAATGCGCCAATGCATCTGGCCGCACTCAATGGCCATGCTCACATTGTCCACCGCTTGCGTCTGACGGGTGCCAATCCCAACGCTCGTAGCGTACGAGGTTTCACTGCCGCGGACCTAGCTACAACGCTTCCCGCGCACCAAGCTGCATTGCTTCCGTCTCGTAACTACCGGTCCCGCAGTGTTGGATCACTCACGTCGCGCCGCCGGCAAAGCAGCTCGGCTTCGCTTAGCTCGATGTGGGAGGTGTCTTCCGCCTCTGGATCTCTTGGCCATGCCGTTGATGATTCAGAGGACCTGGATGATTCAGAGGAGACTACTGACGATTCTGACTCGGAGCCTCTTCAATTCACCTCTTCTCGTCGTTCTAGTATGCACCAAGACGTCGGTCCGCCGATTATGGACAACAGCGAACAAACCGTCGCACCCGGAGATGCTCAAGGCTTCGCCCCGCCAGCACCTCTTATCGCGTGGCGTGACCAACTGGCTCTTCAAATCAATCAATTCCAGCAGAGCGTGGCTAATGCTTTCCCCAATCTCCCCAATCTCCCGGCTCTCCCCCCGATGCCTCCGATGCCCGCAATGCCCGCGATACCCGCGATGCCCGTCCTCCAAGACTACCAAGGGCAAGGAATGATGCGCCGAATAACCAACCTTGTCCCTCACCGACCTGCTGCTCGGGATGGCTGGTGGGATTACCTGAAGGGCACCTCCGCGCCCAATCCCAACCAACCACCTTCATACGATGAACTGTTCCCGCACCCTGATAATACCGATGAATCCGACATGAAGAAGTCCAGTCTGATCCGTGCTGCAACAGAGGCAGCTATCGACCAACACTTCGAAGCCCAGAGCAGTGCTGCTGCGGCCGCCGCTTCGGCATCGGCATCGGCATCCGCTTCCGCTTCCCTCGCTCAAGTCGAGAAGGACGATATGAAAGACATTACAATCGGGCGGAATGTCATCTCGCGCGAGCAACAAAAGCATCTCCGGGAGCAACAGGCTCGACGAATGAAGGGTCTAGGCAGCGACCGAAACCTTTACTTCATCTGGGTAAGTGAACAGACAAGCCCACCAGCTTATTTTCTTCTTCAGTCTAGTACATAGCTAACGCCATTTCTACAGATTCCTCTTCTTATTCTCGTTATTTGCGCCTGGGGTCGAAACTATGTCCCCGGGATTTGGCAGGGCGTCATGGACAGCTTTGAATTTGTGAAAGATCGCTATACACAGCCGGCTGTGGAACTGGGCATTTAGGGCATTTTCTTTTCTTTCTTTCTTTTTTTTTCTGGTCATATATTTCTATGGCGTTCTTCCTGAGCGAGTGAAGCTTCCCTATTATACGACGGACTAACTGTCGAGTTTCTTGTGTTTTTCTTATTTTTGTTCATAATGACGCGGTGTGACTATTTATTTAGAATCCGCATGATTGAATCTTACTGCCCTTCTTTCTATGTAATTTTTCGACTTTAACGATTGTCTCTGAGCTGTTGCTGTTGCACTTGCGTCGAAGATCGGCCAGCCACTTAGTATGCAATGCCAGACATACCTAATATGCATATGCGTGGTGTTATACATCCTCATGTTAGTTCACAAATAAAATTCATCAAATCTCTGTTTCCATAGCTCTTTGGGCGGACTATAGTGATACCACGCATGTACTAAACTACAATCAAAGGCCTATATCTCTCGCAAAACTCCTCGACAGCTTTAACAAACGCATCGAGAGCCGTGGTAGACATGACGATGTTCAAGGTGATTGTTCCTCGATTCTGCACCCAAAACCCTGCATTCACCATCTCCAACCAGAAAAGCTGCTTAAGATCCGTAGCCTCAACCGCAGCAACAGCATCTCGACAAGTAATCTGCTCCGCAGGAAGTCCTATCTTAGTGACGTGAACGCACATAAGAGAACCCTGGCCAGTAACACAGAACTTAGACCCCGCAAAGACCCGTTGCAAGCGCTGACGCAAGTCATCGCCTTGAGCATTGAACGATTGAATGACTTTAGCCGTATACACTTCAGAGAGTCCCGCATACCCAGAGTGCAGCATCAATGTGTTATTCTGGAATGTGCCAGAGTGTACCAAAGCCCCAGGCGTGAGAGGGTTGAAAACATCCATAATGTCTTGTCGGCCACCGAAAGCCCCGAATGGCAAGCCTCCGCCCAGATACTTGCCTAAAGTGATAAGATCTGGTTTAACCTCGAGCGTCTCTTTCAGTCCCCCCAGTGCCAACCGAGATGTCATCACCTCATCCAGAATCATCAACGCGCCTGCTTTCTCGCTCTCCTCGCGAATTGTTCGTAGGAACTCGGGCGATGCAGAAATGAACCCGCCAGATCCCTGGATCCCCTCCAGAATGACAGCGGCGATATCACTATTCTGGGAAAACGCTTCCTGGACACCTTTGGAATCGTTGTACTGCAGTAGTATCCAATCCGCCTGGTCGATGTTGTTTTCCGCGATGCTATCTCCAAAGGACAGCACGCTGCCATGATAAGCTCCGCGGAAGACAATGATCTTACGACGGTTGGTGAATTTCCGAGCTGCAGCAAGACAATGTATGTTTGCCTCTGTTCCTGAGTTTGTGAATCGAACTCGTTCAAGTTTGAACCGCTCACAGAGCAATGAAGCATAGCGCTGCTCGTAGATATTCGTCGCTCCCAGATTCAGCCCCACATTCTGAATGGTATCTGTCAACACCTTTTGCAGCGTTGGGTGAGAGTGTCCAAATAGTCCTGCGGACAACTCGCCGACAAGATCAAAATACCTGGAAAATAGTGTTAATCAACACGTTCTGGAGGGCCAGATTAATGTATTTACTTGTTCCCATCCTCGTCCCACAATTCCGAACCTTCGCCCTTGCGCATGAAAACCGGGAATGGTGCTGTGTGCAGCAGAGTGCGGGTATTTCCTCCCGGTAAGCTTTCGAGCGATAGCTTATGCAGGCGTCGGGATTCGGGGTGGCGCTCAATAAATTGAGTCACGGCATCGTGGAGAGCTGCGTCCATTTTCAAAAATAGAGATTGAATTATTTGTTCAAAAGTCCATGGGATGATGTGTACGATGGTTTGTATAACTGAGCGGGGAAATCTAATGTCTGGGATTTGTAAATTGTCCGTCTTTGAATGGTAACTTTGATAGGTATGTTATCAAGCCCACTACTATATCATGATATAGAATTCTTTCCCAATGGAGCAAGTCTAGCCATTATGAACTTCATTGGGTGTGAGTCAAGAGAGGGGTATATTAGTGAATCCCTTATCATCCCACTAATATCACCGAGGCAGATAGATCTAAATCGGAACCACGCGGATTTATAAGATACACTTAGGTATGACAAAAAAAGATAGATTTTATCTCTGATCATATATAGAAGAGTGTCTTGCACGAAGTATGCTTTTTACCCCCTTTTTTCAAAGGCTATACATATAAATGTCGATCTGTACATTTTAAGGCGTTTTCACTTATATCTAGACATGTCACATAACGTACTTGCTAAGAATTAAGCACTCTAGGAACGTCATCTTACCTAACGCTATATTATATAATCTCAATATCTCTAGTATAGATACTACTTTATTAAGATACACTATAAACTAAGATTTAGATATTATATACGACTATAACTAGCTAAGCCCAATTACCGAACTAGTTAATACGTAATATACCCCTTATTCGAGAAAAGGATTATCGTATTCTATAGAAGAAATAGCTTTATTAGTAAAGCTTGGGCAAGAACAGAATCTTACTTAGCCGGAGGTAATAAGACAGTTTGTATAGAAATTCGCTGGGAGGAGTAAAGGGTCTATATAACATTCTGCATCTGCTTGCCACGACTCGCGTTATTGACGACCACAAACTACCCTGCACTTGCGTGCATAAACCGCCTCACCGTTTCTTCCCCTCATCATGAGTCTCGGTTTGAAACCAAAAAAATATATAACAACATGTCGAATGTGGTCAGTCACCTATATATCTAACAATATAGATTTATTTGGATCGGTTCCATGCTCATAATTGACAAAAATCTGTGGTACGATAAATGGATGGTATAGATCAAATGATATGTATTTCTCCAACGAGCAAAATGACAGAAAATCTACTATTCGACCAATCTGGGTAGACATAATGACTAACTGAAATACACACTCTTGTATGGTATTGTCCATAGTGCCGGTCCGTGGATATCCCGGGTGAAGGTACCCGGTTTTGATCTATATACTCGGACAGTCAACACTTAAAGAAAAAGCTCACACCAATCCACAATATTGATGAAATCCCCCCTGTAGCTTCTGTCTTGATCCGTACGAGACCACCTTTCAAAGGCACTGGGAGTAGTAAGGGTTCTGCTTAGAGCAGGTGGTACCACTCTCACAAGCAGTGGAGCCAGTCCAGTACATGCCACCGCACTGGCCGTAGTGCTTAGAGGCCTCTCCAGTAGTGTCGGGCTTGGCGGTGTTGGGCTTGGCGGTGGTCTTAGTGGGGGCAGACGAAGAAGAAGACGACGACGACGACGGGGTAGAGGCAGTGCCACTGACGAAGTACTTCTTGAGGATGGGCAAGTAGGTCGAGTAAGCAGGGCCGCTTTTTGGCTCCAAGCTATACATGTAAGATCCCCATATAGGACCTGCAGCCCACCACTCGGCACCTGTCCAGACATCGCTGTTCTCAGATAGGTAGGAGAGCATATCTTCGACAGTAGCTTCACAGTTAGAGTTCACGCCGCCAGCGAACTCGCCAAGGAAGCCCTTCTTGTTATTGCTCTTCAACCAGGCGGTGGCAGACTGGAGACGCTCCTTGCCGATAGTGGCACTGACGCAAGACTCGGAGGTACCGGAACTATCGGTGTCAAGGTACTGGTGCATCTCGTAGACGATCTTATTATGGGGGTCGGTAAGGGCCTTAAGGTTATCGTTGTCGGTGGTCCAAGACCAGGCACCACTGTAGCCGTTACCTTCGACAAAGATATACTGGCTAGTAGCGCCAGCGGCACGGATTCCGTCAATTGCAGCCTGGTTTAAGTTTAGGACTAGGGTCTGGTCGATATTATGGTACTCGTTGTCTAGGGGGACGATATTAATAAAAGATTCAATAGTTCAAGTTTTACGATCGGGTAATAGCTTACTGGTATCGAAGATAACCTTCTCGTTAGAGCGAAATTCCGCAGCCACGGTCTTCCAGAAGGTCTTGAAATCGGAGGTCGAGGTGATGATATTGCCATGGCTATGTAGAGTATTAGTATGAAACAAACACAGGAAGCTCAAGTTTTAGTATACTTACTATCTTCCATAGTTATGAGGATCAATAACGACATAGGCACCGCTATCGGTCACAAACTTGACAGTCTATAGAACGGAACAATTAGACCTCTAGGGGAAAATCAATGACCACGAGAGATATCACGTACAGACTTAAGGCCAGCCAGGTAAGTGGCATCCAGGCTACCGGCAATGCCATTTTGCACCAGACGCTCCATTAAGAAGGGCACACGGAAGATGTTCATGCCGGCATCTCTTAGGATCTGAACCTCGGAAGTCTTAGGCCAGGAGTAATCTTGGCCCGCAGTACCGGGAATTTTGCTGGTGGCGAATTCAGCACCAGACTCGCTCACACCAAACCAAGTGAACCCATTAGCACGCTTCTCAAGATTAGCGCGCTGCTCGGTAGGAACAGTGTCTTTTCCTAGGGGGTGTGCGTAGGCCACGGCAGCAGCGCTGGCAGCCAAAACAATGTTGCTGAACTTCATTGCGAAGTGTAAAAGAGAGTATCGAGCTTGACGAAAAAGAATGTGATGGAATCAAAGTAAGAGAGTGAAAATCCAAAGACCAGCCTTGAAGTTTGAATGAAAGAGAATGAACGTATACACAAAGCACGAATAAACCCTACGGAAGCCGTCTTTTATATAGCCATACTCGGCTCAGAGACCTCGAATAGCGCTTGTTATACTCCGTACGGAGTTGACTTACAAAGAATCCAAGGCAGAACACGGAGTGGTTTCACTTTGGAGGTTACTCGGCCCGGGATGCCGGTTCCCTTCTAGATGGTGGGTCTCTTCACCACCCAAGGGGCCGAATCAAACGGTCGAATTTCCCCAAAGCCATTGGTTCAAGCTTCACTTGCAGAATCAGCTAACCAGTCTTGGGTGTAGTGGCCGAAAATAAAACTCTAGGCAAATGAAATTCTCAACATGAAACATCATATGGCATTTAGGTTGATATCAATTGAGTATGTGGTATATTTTCGCGATATGATTTCCAAATTGAACACGGAAGGTCCTTTACAAACTTATAAAGCAGGGAAGCTCGTGATATCGAAGCTAAAGTAGCGATTGTCGGCCGCGCCTCCACCTGTACGAATACGACGTGAGAGTTCAATAACACCCTGGTATTCTAAATATCTGAACACACCTGAGGGACAGAGAAATCAAGAGATCTTCTGAGCGAAAAAGGGCTCTGGAAAAGTCTGTATTTACGTGAAGAGAAGGTAGAGAGGACGGGATAGCTCTGAAAGTCACATGAAAACCATTGGCGGAGCCCCGTATGCTCCAGGGTGAGCCCCCAGCCATACAGAAGTCGACGCTGGGCCCTAAAAATACGTAACGGTGTCTAAACCCTCTTTTGCGCTATAATTTGACACCAGGGTGTTGCGGAACAGACTTACAAGTGGGGCACTACTTGATACCCTATGGGGCAGCCTATAGCCTACCATTCCTAGCAACAATTGGTGCCTTGATAAGACAGGCTACACTCAAGTTCTATGTGTTCATTTTGTTCTCTCTATCTAAAAGATCGTGCGTAAATCCATATTACTACATTAAATATGTCGCAAATCGAAACAAGATTGTTTATTAACAATGAGGTAATATATTTCCAATCTATTGGTACTGTTATACCTAGGGCTCTCTGATATATTGGCTTTCACTGTATGTCCACTCTCGTTCTGAGGCGATGTTGGCTGTCTGTAACCCGATAGATGGCTTAACAATTACCACCGACCTCCAAGTTGCCGGAGAAGAAGACATCAACGCTGTTGTAGCAGCAGCTCAGCTAATACTGTATTCCAGATTGGCCCCTGGAGGAGCTTTACTAGACAATAGAGGGTGAAGTGCCTGTTCCGTCTAGCAGACCTTATCGAAGATGATGCAGACTCTCTCCTTCAATTGGAGACCATAGCTATGGGGGTTCCTAAGGCTGGCATGGAATTCATGATGTCGCTAGTCTCGAAGTACCTCCGCTGTGAGTTGTTCCCACACCAATGGAGAGCTAACTAAAGTGCTTATGCGGTCCAGATTATGCCGGCTATGCAGATAAGATTTCTGGTGAGTTGTATCCAGCAGAGGATGGCGTTTACGAGATTGTGACATATGAACCTCTAGGTGTTTGCGCTTCCCTTGCTTCGTTTAACGCGACCTTTTTGTAAGTATACACCTTGATGGAAGTTAGCTATTGCTCATTGTGTTGATTAGGTATGTGGCCTTGAAATTGGGACCCGTACTCGCTGCTGGGAATACGGTAAAAGCCCTTGCAGACCGCGCTCGACTGCCTGGCTGACTTTGTCTGCAGTGTATCTTCAAAGCCTCTGAAAAAGCACCTTTTGGTGCGCTGGCACTTGGCCGGTCAGTCTATGAGGCTGGCTTTCCACCGGGAGTTATAAATTTCGTCTTGGGTGCGGTTGAGACAGGAAAACTACTTGCTTCCTATATGTATATCGCCTGTATTAACTTCACGGGATCGGTGAATGCTGGCCGTAAGGTCTAAGAAGCTGCAGTTAAAAGCGACCTCAAGCAGTGTGTCCTGGAATTGGGCGGAAAGTCGCCGGCTATAGTATTCAAGGAAGCTCATATTGAGACGGCATTGACCTGGCAAGTATCTCCTACACCTATACTGTGCGCTCTAATTGGCCTGGGCTGACTCAAAAGATAGTTGCTCATTTGGGTTTCTCGCTAATACCGGCCAAGTCTGCGTTGGTAAGTGTAGCTCTTTGGGTTCGGTGGGTGCAGACTGATAAATTTTTAAGCGACTTCCAGGGTCTATGTTGAGGAGGATATAGCCCCAACTTTCATAGAGGCTCTAAAACGTTAGTTCGAAGAGGCTCGAACCAGGGTTGGGGATCCAATGTCTTCCTCCACATTATTCGGCCCTCTTGTGAATAAAGACCTGATGGATCGGGTCTTGACTTATATTGAAGACGGAAAGAGCGAAGCCGAAATGCTATGTGGCGGGAATCGTATTGGTGATGAAGGCTGTATGATGATGCCTGCGCCGAGGCGGGTGTCGTAGCTCACCTGGTTGAAGTCAGCCTCAGCAAGAGTATGAAGCTCGTGGGCGTTAAGCCGACGCCATTTCTGGTTGGAGAGTAAGGACGCACTGGAGAGTAACGGGACGCACATACCGGAGGGCGCGGGGTGCGGCAAAAGCGCGACACGGGTTTGAGTGTTGTAGGTACATTTAAAATTATTATGGTGGATGTCCACAGCGAGCATCCATCTTCACTTCGCTCGTGACGCAACACAGTCTTTCGTCATCAATCTTTCTTGCGTAGCCTTCCTAACATCTCTAGTTTCGGGGGTGAAATACTGGATGTCTCGCTATATATGAAAACGAGCTTTTTCATCCTATGAGTAGATGCACTTGAGATCTAGGACAAATGCATGACATGAATAGCAGATACAAACGCTATATGAAATATTGAAATTCAAGCCTGCTATGTACTTGGTTGGTATTGGTAGACCCACCCGTATTCGCTTTCTCAGCTCTGCTATTTATACTCCACAGTGACACCAAAGTTTCCACATCCCGTGCCCCACACCTCCTTGGCTACATAATATTCTACTAGTCTTAAAACCTTCCATAAGTTTGTGACAGAAATCTAACCGTATAAAATTGTATGTTCAAAATGGCATGTAAGAACTCTAACGTATTTCACATGCGCGCCGCCCACCTCAAAACATCCTAGTGTAGCTTCGAAGAGGCTCCGCCAGAGTGCCACCAATGTGCCGTTAAAGAGCAGATCTACACCGCATTACCAACTCAAGAAAACAATTCTAAATGATACCATTTAGTCTAGCGCCTTGTCCCTTTGCCATATCAATTATCTATATAGTCTGATAAATGTCTGAAGTCCATCTTTGACTCTTATTAATTACTTCTCTTTTCAATTGTGAAACTGTGAGAGTATGTTCGTCTCCTTTGAGCTGTTGGTGGAAGTCTGAGACTACTGTTGTACCTGAAACTATACCAGTCTAATGTAGAAAAATACGCACGGAATAAACGGAGTACAAAGTGAGACATGAAGATGATCTTTTCCAAATTTTACACGGGATGAGGTTACAGCAGTATCATATGGTCCTGTTATCTTAGATATTGTAGTGTCTGTAGTATCGAGTCACCATTATAAAAGGAAGCTGTTAGTATCGAAGTTTTCAGAGTATCACAAACCTACCGACCAAATTGACCAGCAAACAATTTATTCTTCTTTGCCTTGGTAAAAGATGCAGCTTCTCTCTCTTTTTGGCCCTTTGGCTCTTATGGCTGCGGTAGTTTCCGCGGCCGATCGAGGCAGCTATACCAGTCCTGGAATAGGGGCTCGTAAGAAGGCGATCTTGGATGCTGGTGGTAACACTCGCGATATGGCTATTGCTATGCTGGAGACGTAAGTCTACTTGTTTGGTATCCGTTCCTAACAATCTAGCTTACGACTACTAGTAACACCATGACCACGGACTACACTTATGGTATGTCTAATAGTTGGCCAGCAAAACTACCTATAGTGCTAACATCCGTACTTATAGGTGATGGAAAGTCAGGCGATAGCACGAATTTCGGCGTGTTTAAACAAAACTGGTACATGCTGAGAAATTCTGCATCTGAATTCCTAGGTCAGACTGTAGCGCAGGTCTCTAATGGTGCTATTCTGAAGTAAGTTTTGGACTAGCCGATAAGCCGAGGTATATCAAACTAATGCTCGAGTGCTAGTTCGGACCTGAAAAAGGACATTCAAGCTCGCCACGACGGCGAGAACCACTTCGGATATGAAACTTGGTTCAGTGGTCACCGCAATGGAGAATCGGGTGTGAATAACCCGGGCACAGCTGATATCCAAAGTGGGTTTCATCTGATCTGATCCCCTATTTCACGAATTTTTTTACTGACTTTATCGACAGCGTACATCAATGGCGTGTCATGGATTCAACAGCAGATCGAGAGTGACGACAAGTACCAGAGCGACGACACTCGCTTCTGGGTTGATGTCGTGCCTATCTAAACAAATGACATCTGATGGCAGACAAATAGCCACACATCTCGGAATAAGACTATGCGCTTTGTGCCACGTGGTGTGCTTCACAGCCGTCACACATCCCTCGGGAGCGCATTCTTTTAGTTCATCTACTCTCTATTCTATTCTATTCGCCCTCTTACTGAGATAGTAGACTTAGTTATGAAATTTTCATACGAATACACTCCTACTACCAAACCCTTACTGTTTCTGCACAGATTGCGTCATGTACGTCATTTTTTTAAACAGATCATCCTATTAATCCTATTTAGGTTCACCCAGCTATCAACGCGCTTTTTCGGCTCTAGAGTGCAACCTAGTCAACCCCACCTTCAACAGGGCCACCAGGTTGAAGGACACCATCAAGCCCAAAAATGGTGAAGCGATATCTTTAAGTCCCGATTGCCCCATTGGACATTGCGTTCGGTCTGATGGCCGACTTTGAAGCAGACCCTCACCCAAAGAAAGTCTCACTGACCGCCGGAGCATATCGCAAACGAGAATAGACACCCCTGGATCTTTCCAAGCGTCAAATATCACTTTGCAGAGTAAAACAATAACTGAAAACTAGTATAGGCAAAGGAACACCCCAGCGAAACCACCCACGAATACCTGGGTATAGCAGGCTCGCCGACCTTCACCAACCTGGCAAAGGACCTTGTCTTCGGACCCATTGCACCCAGTCTTCAAGGCAACACAGCATCGATTCAAACAATTTCCGGCACATGTGCAAACCATGTCGCAGCCACATTCCTGGCCCGTCACCTCCGCCCCAATCGCGTCTTCATCACTTCCCCAAGGTGGATCAATCACAAGTCTATCTGGGAGATGACCGGTGTTCCGGTTGTAGAGTGTCCATATTCCATACTACTCCAATGCCACTAGAGAAGTTGATATAACCGGGATGATGGATGCCCTAGACCATGCTGAACCCACTGATGTCGTCATCCTACAAGCCTGCGCGCACAACCCCACCGGCGTGGACTTATCAAAGTCCCAGGGGACAGAAGTCTCTGCCCTCGTCTAGCGGAAGAATCTCTTCACCATCTTTGACAGTGCATACCAGGGCTTCACGTCAATGGCGATGCGTGGGCGGGTCGCCATTTCGTAGATAATGTTCTCGCATCGGAGACGCATCCGGGCCTGTGTGTCGTGCAGTCGTTCTCGAAGAACTTTGGTCTGTGCAGTGAGCGTGTTGGCACCCTGCATTTAGTTGTACCACGGCATCTTTCGTCGCAGAGTGCACTGTCTGAATTGATGTTGATTTCGAGAGCGTAATATTCCAATCCACCGCGCTTTGGGGCGAGTATTGTTGAGACTGTCCTTGGGGATCAGGGCCTGAGGGCTCAGTAGAAGCAGACTTGGATACAATGAGCTCACGGATCCAGAGGATGAGGGCTTTGCTCAGGCAAAGGCTGGAGAAGGAGACGCTGCGGGATTGGTCACATGTTGAGAAGCAAATTGGGATATTCAGCTATACAGGTTTGACTGAGGAGCAGGTTTCTCGACTTCAAAAGTAGTTTCATATCTATCTGTTGCCCTCGGATCGGATGAGTGTATGTGAACTGGATGAGGATGACATCGACTATGTGGCACATGCCGTTGGTGAAGTTGTCAAAACGAGCTGTGTTTAGTTGTTGAAACTAAGACGACAGGTACCGTAGCTAGTCTATCCTCGGCCAGAGACCACACTCCGAGCTCTCTGCTGATTTCGTATTGAATGAGGTGTTTACTGAACGCCGGGATTGCGGCTTTTTTCGGAAGCGATAAACATTGATTTACCGAGTGAAACAACTAGCTCTGGACTCCGGAGTCCAGAAAGGGCACGGGATGGTAAACACAACGCTTAATCGACTTGAGGACGATTTTGGCTAATATGATGACACCAGGACAGAAGTAAGCAACCCGGAGCAGCTCCGGGCTCCGGATTCTAGAAAGGGAACGGGATGATAGATATGGCACGGCCGTTACCGGTGCCTATAACGGTCAATTCTAAGTTTGCAGGGGATTATAAAAGGCATCATGCTCACATTTAATGAATCAACAATCGCCCATATAACTGGACTGAATATCAACTATCTTAAGCTAGCCTTGTTGCACTATTTCAGAATCAACTCTAGCGATGAAAGCTACTATTTTTATTCTTACCTTTCTGTCTGTCTTGGGGACTCTTGCAAACGACCTCACTAAGAGAGCAGACCGCGGTTCTGAGACTGTCTCCGGTATTAGCTCGCGCAAGCAATCCATTCTAAATGCCGGCGGTAATACTCTAGACCTTGCTATCGCTATGCTTGAAACGTAAATACCTATCTCCCTCAGAGGCTTATACTTTTAGATACAAACTAATAATGGGTATAGTGAAACAATGACAACCGATTATACCTACGGTGACGGAAAGACTCAAGACGCAGCCAATTTTGGTCTTTTTAAGCAGAACTGGGGAATGCTTCGAGTGTGTGCAACCCGATACGGACTGGCGGGCCAACCGGAGAGCTCATGGAATAATGGAGCTCTACTTAAGTATATCTTCATTATTTTATATTAATAAGACGAATCTACTAACGGGCCTAGTAATAACGTCTACGCAGATGTTGCCTCTCGCTGGGACTGCCAGGAATATTATGGGGTAGATAAATGGTTCGCGGGGCACCGTAATGGTGCAAGCGGGCTTGCAAATCCTAATACAGCCGATATCAACAGTATGCTTATTTCTATCCCAGTGGTTATTGTTTTACCATATAGGAAAACTAACACGTCATATATAGATTATAAGAATGCCGTGTATTGGATCCAGGAGCAGATTGATAGCAACTCAGCTTATAAATCTGATGATACCAGGTTTTGGGTGGATGTTACTCCTATCTAGACAGTGGCTGTTTACTACTGCTGTTGAGTCCGTACCTAGTCTAGTGGTGGGCTTTTTGTTTAAGAGGGAAGCCGGGGAGGCTCCGAGGTTGTGGGGATGGGAGGTTGATTATGTCCCCCGGAGAGCTTGTCATACGAAGGGGAATGTTGAAGCAAGATGAAATCGGGAAGACATCTAGGACGAATGAATTTATTGGAACTTTGCTTCTACCTGATGGACAATTTTCTTTTCGCGGTGAAACTTCATTGGCTAGTACACGACGACCTAATGCAGAAATCCATCTCTTATTGATAGCTGCATTAATGCTATTCCAACTATGTGTTGGATCACCGTCACCTGTTAATTATATGTCGAATACCATAGTGGAATACATAGTTGAAGGGTATTTTACCTTGAAACTCATATAATCACCAATTGGCGATTCCCACACAAAAGCGCATAGTCTACTCAGTCAAATTGTCCGTTGAAATTATCGTTTTTGTCATTCTAGCTAGTTATATACCACTAAATTGTGCTATATATCCTCACACCACAGATTTCTGCCATAATGTCTTAGTCGAGTGTTTCAATGCAATTTATATGGCTATGGGCTGACGCTCCTATCAGAAGATATTCTGAGATTACTTCAGACTATGTGCCACATATCAATCATGAAACACCATCTAGAATGGACTGTATCGCTCACAATGCGAAAGGGCCAGAGAAGGAGAGAAGAGACAAGCTCTCAGAACTATCCTACTCTAAGAGAGAGCCGACAAAGAAGATGACAGAGGCCAAGTCTGTGCTGCGAGGTGAATCCGATAGTAATAGTGAATGATCAGAAGGGACGGCCACAAATTAGTTCCTACGGATTATCGGGATACCTAAAACGTAGTGTCGAATACTAGATTTTATGTTTACACTTAATATTTGATCCGCTACCACCTTTTGTGTATTTCAGTCTCAGCCAATTTATTGGGAATTTTTTTTAAAAAAACCGAAAACATACAACGATTCGCTGGTGGCCACCCCCACCCAACTACTAAGCCACCGGCGTGTGACTTAAGTACGGCTGAGAGGCCAGGAATCCCTGTTTTCCACATCCTATGGTCGTATGTACCAGGTAATTTATAAGAAAGGAAGAAAAACTATGCGGAGTTGAAAGGGTGACGCTATCGATAAAGTGAGAATGAAGGTGGGAGAGCCGGGTGACAATCCTTCGAGAAGCCCGCGCAGGCCAGGAAGGAGATAACGCGGACTCTTCAAGGTGGGCGAACGATCCCCCGAAAGTCAATTGGAGAATTTATCTCGATAAACAACATTTGAAGTCAACAGTTCAGTCATATCACATTTACTGTACTCACCTACGCTGTAAGGATCAGTTGCAATTGAGTATCTCCAAACGCCGACAACGGAGAACGAGAGGTTGAAGTGAACCCGGGGTGGAAAGAACAGAAAGGTGGTGATGCAGTTATTTCCGTTCCAAATATTGCTACATCGCAACAGGCGTTGAAGTAGTGAATACCACTCGCTCTTACAGATCACCACCCATGCTTCTCCTCGGCGACGGTGCCAAAATCCTTTGACCGGAGTCATGTTCTTCTATCCCGTTCCGCATAATTATTTAGATGGAATAGCTACCTACTAATTCTACCCATTCCTAAAACTGCCATCCTTTCAGTATTCTAACCATACACCACGAGCGCGAAGACAATGGTGATATATCAAAAAATAGGTATTTTCTCGTTTCCAAGGGCTTAAGCGGCAGCTTCAACATCAATTTGCAGACTTCTTTTCCAGCCGTTCAAAGTCTCTTCCTGGTATACCTGCCGCCGCTTCTGAATCGGAAAGCACACGACGATCAGCCGCCCCATCCCCAGAGGTGTCCCCCAATGAAGATAACGTGCCACAAAAAGGAGACAACAGGCATCTCGATCGATTTGCAATTCACCACAAAATCGTTCTTAACGCAGAGTCAAACTAAATTGGTCTTCAGTTTCAAAGCCTACAAGAAGGGTACTAGCTGGGCTAGTCGGTTTATGAAAGAACAAGAGCCTTCGGGTGGCCACTTTCGTGCGAAACATGCGACAGTTGCGAGAGGACGTAAGTGATGATACGTCATGCACGAGCACCAGCTTTCTTTATCGGTGAACTCCGTGATCATCACTGGAGGTATTTATTATCTGCAGCCCAACTGAAGCGGTTTGTCTTCTGGAGAAGATCCGAACTACTGATTTTCACGGCTCTGGCCAACCTAAGTGCATTCAGGAGTTTGCCGCTAGATTTGCCCCTTTGGACCGTCTCTTCTGGGTTTTCAGGCCTCATTTAGGCTTTCCCATCGGTACCATACCACTAGGTTATCCTGATTACAATGGCAAGCCATTTGGCTTAGCTGTTTTAGGAAAGTTTGGACAGGATGGTCGGCTTCTCGAATTCATGAGTGCTTTTGAGGCGACCTTTCCCAAAAGAAACCATCCCCAACCACTGATCGAACAATTGACTGGGAATCATGGGAATTCCTCGGAGAGCATTATTTAGGTAAGAATGAGGCTAGAATAATTCTATAGGTTCTAATATATTAATCTCTTTGGTATATAGAAAATAGAGGATATACCGAATTTGAAGGCGGATATATAAAAAAGTTATACATATCCTTTCTAGTCAGCGGAGCTCGAATTAGTTTGGTAGTGTAGGTTACCATGGCTCTAGATTCCATATTAGGCGACGGATGGCTGGTAGGAGAAGCATTTAAACCCCAGTCCCAGATGTTCCTCCTTCTATTTTCCCCCTGATACAAAATCTTCCAAGACATACAAGAATCGTTTAATCATCCCTGAAAATGTCCGAACTATCTTTTGAAAGCCAAGAATCGAAGACAGTCTCCTACTGTCACGACTGCCCTCCACAGTACGATTCTTGCCAGCCAAGTCAAGATGTACTTACCTCTGTTATCGAGAACGAGCATACTCGCCGGATATTATGTCAACGACTAGGTAATATGGCAACAGAGCTCCTTGACTTAGGAGAGAAGAAGCTCACCGACGAAACTGATTACCTTATGATTACGGAGTATTTTCTAGAGATGGATCGGTTATATACAGAGGGGATGCAAATATCTAAAGAGATGGCAAATGTTTACAAGGAACGCACTGTTCGAAATACTGAGCTCTATACCGCTATGTTAAGACTCACTGTTAGTGAGTTCGACCGGACCTATGCTTCTTCAAGGGGCGTTCCAAACCGGCAGGTCCGACACGAGCTGGCTCAGGACCATAAGGGCCACGCCGACTGCTATGACAGAGATTGTGGACACAATTCTCAACGCTCTTTGGGAACCAAACAAATGGAGGGGGAAGCTAGAGATTGCACGTGTGACTCTCCGTGCTCTGATGGCCGGTTCTTCGAGCTCTCGCAAAAGTTGGAGAAGATCAATGATAAACTTGGCCAAAGCCTTCAATCCCATGATATGGCCAATGTTTCGAAGACAACTCATGATGCTCCTACAAAGCCACCCAGGAGCTTTTGGAAGAGAATTGTGAAGCATTAGCTTGTTCTTGGTGGTAAAGTGGAGGGGGGGTCTCTGGAGTGATCAAATTATGGCAAGGTTGTTGAATATTCGTGTTTATCTTGCTTTGTACCAACTTGAACGATCCATGCGGATGTATATGCTTGGTGTGTGCGTTGTTTCTGAGTGTTTGATTTGAGATTCAAATACCATATTTTTTAAAACACTTCCCTCATCCTGCGAGATAGAAGATTTATATCATAGTCTAAAAGCCCGATACTCAATACTTGGAATCTTCTTTTTAAAAATCCATCATTATGGTAGACCAATGAGGGTTTATCACAAGATCTAACTCTGTTGGACAAAGAGTTCCCTGGTTACATATAGAGAGGTCTACTTCACAAAGAAACTGAGAAGGGTGACAAAATATCTATTAAAAAAACAAGACGATTAAAAATGATAATAAAAGACTATGAAAAAGACTGCGCAGAAGACATCAAAAGCCCCCTCACGCGGTTTAAGCCGTTTTCACTGCCTATACCGTAGCTACAACACCAAAACCCGGGGGGGGGGAGACAAAACGCCGCATATGCGGCCAACTATTCTTGTGTACGGTCAACAGTGAAATGCATGTTTAGTAGGAAAATCAAGGTGCCCTGAGGCGCCGACAGTATACATTCTTCACCTCCGAAGAGGGCCAGTTGACCAAAAGAAAGAGCAAGAACAACAATAAAACAAAACAAAACAAAACACAAGTAAAAATACAAAAAAACAACCCCCCCTCCTCCTCTCACCTCCATCTCACATCTTCACCAGTTTTCTTCCTTCATCTCACCTCGCTGAGGTTCTCGGAGAGAAGCAAAAACGGCCAAAAAGCCCCAGAGGAACGCCATAAAAACAGATCTTCGCCAGTTTTCTTCCTTCATCTCACCTCGCTGAGGTTCTCGGAGAGAAGCAAAAACGGTCAAAAAGCCCCAGAGGAACGCCTTGAAAAACACCCCTCTCCATCCCCTATATATGTGGTACATCCGTTTTCATTCAGCTCACCTCGCTAAGGTTCTCGGAGTGAAGAAAACGGTCAAAACAACCGAGGAACGCCATCAAATCGACACCCCTTTATGCTGCCGGGGGAAGCGCGGTGGGATTCACAAAGTCCCAAGCCTCTTTGAAACCGTGGCCGACAGTGCGCACGGTGGTGGCAACGGCAGAGGCCGCGGCGGGGTCTCGCCTCTTCTTGTGGGGGGTGGCGGGGGGCGCGAGCGCATGGCCAGCGGCGGGGGCAGAC